TCTGTGGTTTTCTTGGCAAGGTTTTTTAGAAATGGTTAGCAGAGAAGAGCAACAAAGACGATTAGGGGACTGGAGGCTAAAATATACGAAGAACGGTTGCAGGAACTGGGCATGGCTAGTCCAGTGAAGAGAAGGACCAGGGGAGACATGATAGCAGTCTCCCAATATTTGAGGGGCTGCCACAGAGAGGAGGGGGGGGGCAACCTATTTTCCAAAGCACCTGAAGGCCAGACACGGAACAATGGATGGAAACTGATCAAGGAAACAAATAAGGAGGAATTTTCTGGCAGTGAGAACAATCAACCAATGGAACTGAAGTTGCCTTCAGATTATGTGGGAGTTTCATCACTGGAAGTTTTCAGGAAGAGACTGGACTGCCATCTGTCAGAAATGGTGTAGGATCTCCTGCTTGGCCAGGGGTTGGACTAGATGACCTATAAGGTCCCTTTCAACTCTGTTATTTTACTCTACTCTACTCTACTCTACTCTACTCTACTCTACTCTACTCTACTCTACTCTACTCTACTCTACTCTACTCTATTCTACTCTATATTCTATTCTATTCTGTATTATCTGAGCCTCTGCCTCTATGTCTGAGAGAGAGGTCATCCATTTGGATTCCTGCTCAAGGTGAGACTAGAATTCACCATCTCCCAGTTTCTAAACTGATGCCTTAACCATGTCACCAAACTGGTTCTTTAACACTCCATTAGATGTTAGCTATTGGCAAGCAATATCCAAGATGAGTTGAAATATTCCATTTGAACAAATCAGCTCCAGTTTCTTTTCAGATCATGCAAATAACCTTTAAATAAACCTTTAACACTCCCCTTCTTTTAACAGCTGTAGCTAAATACAGAAATTTGAAAATGGGAAGGGGCTTCTCCTTCACCCCACCCCAAAATCTGACTTACTAAACATTCCTCTTCAGCAACCTTAAGAAAGGTCTTCTCATTTTTTTCATTTTGAGGAAGGACCACCTGTTTCTTTTAAACAGGACATTTGAAAAAGAGGATGCTAAGTTCCCATATCCCTGCTTAAAAAGCTGCTCAAACAACAGGTAAGGCTAGGAGAAGCATCTGCTTACCTTCTGTCTTCCTGTTTCGCCTTTTGGAAGAAAAGCGTCTGTAACTACTCCAAAGGTGACTTTTTTTTTCCTGTTTTCATTCAGGCTCTTCAGCAGGAACAAAACTTTTCCCAACTTTGAAGGATGTGTAATAAAGCCATAAAAATCTAAACAAGTGCTGCGGTCACTCAAAAACCAACGATCGATCGGGGAAATAGCGTTCAGAACAATACTAACAGGTAACTCGAGTGCATAAACTGTGCCACCTCCCACCTGGATCTTAAGGTGACACAGTCCTCCCTCCCCCCCCCCAGACTTTATCATGAATATTTCAGGCTAGTCCCACCCTTGTTCTGCCTCAAAAGGTAGTAAGAACAACACCCCGGCTGTTCCATCACATACAGTTTGACAAGAAAGACAAATGAAGCATTTGTACCCTAAAGCCTATTGGTCATGCAAGTGGTTTGGGTGTTGTAAAAATAATTCCTGTGGTGATTAATGCCACTCTGTGGGCTTGGCCCCAATTAGTTTTCAGGAAACGTAGAAAGGGAAAGGAAGAGAAGCATAGAATTAGCTAAACTTTGGATTCCGCAGTGATTTAGTTTCTGGTTTCCAAGAAATAATAGCATGTAAAAAAAGGATGGTGCCCACTTTTAACTGCATCTGGAGGTTGCAAGGATGCACACTATCACTCTATCATGTTGACTAGAGGCAATATGATAGCAGGGTTCCAATAATATAATATACCTGAAAAATTGGTTCTCTGCATGGTTGCCCATTTCCAGAAGTCTGTTCTGGGCCTGGGCCTCCGAGGCCCAGAAAAGACTTCCGGAAGTGGCATCCATTATCTCCCGGTGGGCCGTTCTGGGCCTGTGAGACCTCCCTGGCTTAGAACAGACTTCTGGAAGTGGTGTCCATGCACTTCTGGTAGTCTGTTCTGGGCCTTGCAAAAAGGGGCTAGGGCTTCAGCCAGTTTGATGAAGTCAGCAAAAAATTAGCTACTGGTTCTACCGAACGGGTGCAAGCCGGCTGAATCCCACCACTCAGCCAACTTATCTTCCAAAGCCCCAGAAGGCAGGAGAAGAAGCAACAGATGGAAACTAACCAAGGAGAGAAGCAAACTGGAACTAAGGAGAAACTGTCCTGACAGAACAATTAACCATTGGAACAGTTTGCCTTCAGACATTGTGGGTGCTTCATCACTGGAGGTTTTCAAGAAGAGATTGGACAACCGTTTGTCCAGAATGGTATAAGGACTCTTGCTTGAACAGGGGGTTGGACTAGAAGACCTCCAAGGCCCCTTCCAACTCTGTTATTCTGCTATTCTTGCAATATTTGAGGGCCTGCCACAAAGAAGAGGGAGTCAAACTATTCTCCAAAGGACCTGAAGGCAGGACAAGAAGCAACGGATGGAACCTAATCAAAGAGAAAAGCAAGCTAGAACTAAGGAGAAATTCTGTGACAGTGAGAACAATTAATCAGTGGAACAACCTGCCTCCAAAAGTTGTGAATGTTCCAGCAATGGAGGTTTTTAAGAAGAGATTGGACAGCCATCTGTCTGAAATAGTATAGGGTTTCTTGCCTGAGCAGGGCGTTGGACTAGAAGACCTCCAAAGTCACTTCCAATTCTTCTTCTTTTATTACATTAACAAGACGTCATATCCATTAATATAGAGGAGAAAAAATGGTAGAGCCCATGGTTCCCTCCCTTGCTTACTTACAACCCTATTGAATTTTCCCAGAACTGTTACTGCTAAACATTTATTTATTTATTTATTTATTTATTTATTTATTTATTTATTTATGAGAATTATATACCGCTTTAAGTGCAAGCACTCTCTAAGCGGTGTACACCAGTAAGCAATGTATATATATATTTACATTGCCCCCAACAATCTGGGTCCTCATTTTACCTACCCCGGAAGGATGGAAGGCTGAGTCAACCTTGAGCCGGTGAGATTTGAACCGCTGACCTGCTGAACACAGTCAGCTAAAGTGGCCTGCAGTACTGCACTCTAACTGCTGCGCCACCTCAGCTCTTATTATTTCTAATAAGTACCCTACTTTCCAAGGAAATACCTACATTTAAACACCTTAAGACAGCAAAGTTTTGCCTTCCTTGAATGTTTTCAAATGTTTGTGAAAGCGGGGAATTTGCATCAGTTCCTGGTTTGGATAATGTCCTATTTTTTTTTAATCAGTGAGGAATAATTCTCCAACCGAACCTATTACCACTGATCCTTTGTGTTTCAGGGTTTCATCCTGTCTCTCAAGGTGTTAAGCATCTACATGAAAGCCCTGGGAGACCCCATCTGAAGGGAGGTGTTAAGAGGTGTGGAACTGATACCCTAACAATTGGTATCTTTGGATATTGCCTGGAAGAGAGAGAATTAGCTACAGATCAACCCCAACTGCTCTTTAGAAGGCCAGATCCTGAAGTTGAAACTCAAATACTTTGGCCACCTAATGAGAAGGAAGGACTCATTGGAGAAGAGCCTAATGCTGGGAAAGATGGAGGGCAAGAGAAGAAGGGGACGACAGAGAAGGAGGTGGCTGGATGGAGTCACTGAAGCAGTAGGCGTGAGCTTAAATGGACTCCAGAAGATGGTAGAGGACAGGAAGGCCTGGAGGAATGTTGTCCATGGGGACACAATGGTCGGACACGACTTCGCAATTAACAACAACAACAACAACAAAATCCAGAGGAAATAATGTGATAATCTGGGTAAATATTTGGACTCTGGTTTCATCCCACGTTTTTGGATTTTGCTCAGTCTTCAACTACAAAACTTTTTCATCCTTTCCTAGTCTTTCTTTTAAAACTGAACTCTTACTTTCTCACCCACTGCCTGTAGGTAGTCCTCGACTTTACGACTTTACAATTGAGTCCAAAATTTCTGTTGCTACGTGAGACAGCTTTGCCCCATTTTACAAATTTTCTTTCCACGGCTGTTGTGAATCCTTGCAGGTATTACGTTAGTAACATGGTTTTTTTAAGGGAACATGACTTGTCAGAAGGTCACAAAAGTGGATCACAAGACCCCAGGGGGACAAAGCGACTGTCATAAATGGGAGTCAGTTGCCAGGTGTCTGAATTTTGATCACGTGATGATGTGAATAACATTTGGAGCTCTTGTATTCTGTATTCTGTATTCTATTCTATTCTATTCTATTCTATTCTATTCTATTCTATTCTATTCTATTCTATTCTATTCTATTCTATATTCTATTCTCTTCTGTATTCAGAATTCCATTCTATTCTATTCTATTCTTTTCTATTCTATTCTATATTCTATTCTCTTCTCTCTTCTCTCTTATGTATTCCATTCCATTCCATTCCATTCCATTCCATTCCATTCCATTCTATTCTATTCTATTCTATTCTATTCTATTCTATTCTATTCTATTCTATTCTATTCTATATTCTATTCTCTTCTGTATTCAGAATTCCATTCGATTCCATTCGATTCCATTCCATTCCATTCTATTCTATTCTATTCTATTCTATTCTATTCTATTCTATTCTATTCTATTCTATATTCTATTCTCTTCTCTTCTCTCTTCTCTCTTATGTATTCCATTCCATTCCATTCCATTCCATTCCATTCCATTCCATTCCATTCCATTCTATTCTATTCTATTCTATTCTATTCTATTCTATTCTATTCTATTCTATTCTATTCTATTCTATTCTATATTCTATTCTCTTCTCTCTTCTCTCTTCTCTCTTCTCTCTTATATATTCTATTCTATTCTATTCTATTCTATTCTATTCTATTCTATTCTATTCTATTCTATTCTTCATTCCTCTATTCCACTCCACTCCACTCCATTCCATTCCGTTCTATTTTATTCTTAGATTATCTGTTTACAAACATGCAATCCCTTTATAATAGATTTGTCTTTTGAGCACAGGAAATGAAACGAAAGCAAAGAAAATGCTAGGATTTTTATTATTATTATTATTTGACAGAAAAATTACATCAAGTTATGTTTTAAGGAACATTCAATGGTTGCCTTGGTTTGCCTAGTGGTTGGGTTTTAAAACTCACAGACCACAAGGCGGTAATTGTGGCACCTTTTGCTATACCAGGCTCCATTTTTGTTCATTTCCACACATTTTTTAGTTCCTGGATCGGAAGGTTCATCCTTGAACCAGTTGGTAAAATCCAATGGATCCCCATTCTGGAAATGGAATTTCCCTGGAACATCACTTTCAATAATACCTAGATATGCAGAATTGTTATAAAATTGCACAATCTCCTGAATAGCGTTGTTCTCTTTCAGGTTTCTTGGTGCAGCAATGGCGCCCTGGGCTTTTTTGCAAGTCAAGTCTGCTTTCTCAAAGTCATATTCCTCTCCAGTAGAGGCAAACAGCTTATCCCCAGCATTTGCCATCTTTTCTTCCAAGGTCAAAGCTGTCAAGAAATTTGGAAGCCTTGCTTAGATCCTTCAAAACATATAAAGAACGGTTGCTGGAATTGGGAATGTCTAGTTTAATGAAAAGGAAGACCAGGGGTGACATGATAGCAGTGTTCCAGTATCTGAGGGGTGGCCACAAACTAGAGGGAGTCAAGCTATTCTCCAAAGCACCTGAAGGCAGGACAAGAAGCAATGGATGGAAAGTAATCCAAGGACTGAATCAAGCTAGAACTAAGGAGAAATTGCCTGACCGTTAGAGCAATTAACGGCCAAAAGTGTCTGTGGCACCATGCAGAGCTTTTTTAAGGCAGCAAAAGGAATTGGCTGCCATTTTGTGGACAAACATGGCTGCCATTTTGTGGACAAGACAAAATGGCTGCTGCTTTGGGAATCCCAGCATGCAGATGGACTTCTTCAAAAGGTAAATGAAGAGGAGGAAGGTGCTTGACCAGGTGGGTGGAAATCAGTGCTAAGGCTGGAGCGGGAAAAGACCCATGGGAACCCAAGTCATGGGAAGTGGAGCATGGGGCATCCCTAGAAGATGGGAGAGGATGGGAAGGGCAGGGCTGGTGAGGCTGGGCCTGTGCCAGGCCTCCAGCAGAGTCCTCCATCCAGAATGCTCCGTAGGCTCCACTTAATGACCTGTACATTCCTTTTTCCATTTCATTGGGGAAAGCAAGCATGGTGTGTGTGTGTGTGTGTGTGTGTGTGTGTGTGTGTGTGTTATTAGTATTACATTTCACCTAACAATGATTGCGACCTGCGATTAAAATGGGCAGACTCCATTATAGTCATATCTCAAAGACTAATTATAGTCTCTTCTAGTGAACACCCATAACACACACACACACACACACACACAAAGGAGGCTTTGGGCTTTGGGACAAGGTGTGGTGCGAGCCCTTTTTGAGAAGTGGATTGATGAATTATTATCCCCGGGGCAACAATGTACTTTTTAAATTTCTTTTTTTTTTTACTATTTTGTTATTGTTTTTAACTTAAGCTCGTCAGCAAGCATTTTTGTATTTATTTATTTATATCCTGCCTTTATTACTTTTTTTTTACAAATGACTCAAGGTGATGACTATAGCCAGCAATATATATTCGATATATTCCTCCTCCTATTTACCGTATAGAAATAACAGCCCTGTGAAATGAATTGGGCTCAAAGACAGCCCAAATCAGTGAGCATTATGAATTCCTCTGAATGATATGCTGGATAGAATACACTCTTAAAAATAGAGGGACAATCTAACTTTAGGTTATCACGTTCTTTATCAGTCGGTAATTTTTTTTTTTAAAAGTCCCCGTTCCAGAAATTGAATTTTCCTGGATCATCACTTTCAATCATACCCAGATAGGCATTAACGGTTATAGTATGGCATAGTCTTCTGAACAGCTTTGGTCTCGTTCAGCTTTCTTGGCGATGCAAGGGAATAAGAATAAAAACTACTCACCCACTTTTAATTTGAAAAAGAGAAAGGGAAGCCATTAAAAACGTACCTCTTTCCATTTGGCCGATTCTACGTTGGAGTTCTTTGATGTCATCTTGACTGGCAGGGAGACCTGTGGATGAAAAATAATGGATCTTCATTGTCCCATGGTTCAATTGAAGTTATTATTACTCTTACTTGACTATATGATCCTGTGACATGAGTTGGGACGGTACTTTCCTTGAATGATGCATTGGAGTACAAATCAGCAATAGCCTGGCAGATTAGATAACAGAACGATTAATTGATTGATTTGTAGGCCTAGAGTATTTCTTGTGTCTTTCAACCGAAACAAATGGATTTTGTTTTGTGTAGCAAATACATTTTTTGTTTCTTCCTTTTTCTGAAAACTTCCCTGAACCCAAAGTTATATTTATTATTCTTTTAAAAAAAACAAAATATAAATAAGAGGCTCTTGCAAGACCTTCCACCAAGTCCCTTAATATTGGTATGCCAGGGTTTGCAACCTATATGTGTATTGGTGGGTCCTCAGGCTATTGTTGACACCTCCATCCATATCTTAAAGATGCTTTTTCAGGAGGCAACTGGACTTTCTTGTTTTTCTTTGAAGACGTTTCGCTTCTCATCCAAGAATCTTCTTCAGTTTTGACTGGATGGTGGGGAATGGAAGGATTTATACTCCTTGCAGACAGCCGGTCATTTGCTTTGTTTTAGAGGGTCATTATGGCCATTTTAAGGTTTACCTGTGTCCTCAGGGCCATCTGGTGCAAATGGGTGTGGAGCCTTCTTGAAATTGTTGAAAGAACTGTGTTGTAGACTAGAGACAGTCCTTTCAGACAGTCCTGAAGATTTTTTCTTTCAACAATGACAATAGGATTGTGGAGCAAAACCAATAACTACCTTTCAATCGCAGAAGGCAAACATCTCCATGAAGTCAAGTGCTCTCATAACTGATTTCCATCTCTGCAATAACTCTCATAATTTAGCCTCTGCTTCAAGGTGAATCATTTCAGAGAGTTTGTCTCACCCATCTCTATTTCATCAAAGGGATTCCTGTTGATATTTACCCCTCCCACTTTCAAGAGCTGGAGAGCTCGATTGCCAAATTAATATATAATGCGCAGCTGCCTAGGCAACACAACAGCCACACAAGGAAAGCTTGATCTCCTTTTCATTTAAGAAAATATCTAGAAGATGGTTGAATTTAGTGACACTAATTACCATCGAGATGAAAATAGTTTACAAAAATTGGGGGAACTTTTAAATTCCTTCAGAAGACATGACCTCTATTAGGTTGAAGTAGTCTTGCAAAATAGCGTGTGCAAGTTTTGAATGCGCCAGGAAGTGGTTCAGAATGTTTCATCAAGTAATATAGGAATCAAAGAGATTTTTAAAAAGGGAAAAGGAGGGTTGTCATTGTTTTTGTTTAGGATTCTGGATTGGGCCAAGCCAGATGTTGAGACAAGCATATCTGCTTAGGTCTGGAAGCCTCTAAAACGCTCACAAAAAGGATGACATCCAATCACCTGGTAGACCAGGAGGACCGCTCATACCCCTTGGTCCTGGAAAGCCAGGAGGTCCGCTTGGTCCAGGTGGTCCTTGGGGTCCTGATCAAAGGAAAACAAGAGATGTAATTATGTAACATTCTTGAGCACTTATTTTAAATTTTGGATATGGAAAGCGTTGGATTTGTGGCCGATCTGTTCATTACTATGTTGTAGAAACAGAAATGTATCTTTAATTACCCAAACTCTCCAAAATGGGATTCACAATATCTATAAAACTTCTTTTATTTTATTTATTGATATAAAACATTTCTACAGCTGCCTATCTTTTAACCAACTCTGGGAAGTTTTACTGGTCATGCCCCACCAGTATAGAATAGAATAGAATAGAATAGAATAGAATAGAATAGAATAGAATAGAATAGAATAGAATAGAATAGAGTAGAGTAGAGTAGAGTAGAGTAGAGTAGAGTAGAGTAGAGTAGAGTAGAGTAAAGTAGAACAGAACAGAATAGATCTGGAATGGACCTTGGAGGTCTTCCAGTGCAGCCCCCTGCTGAAGCAGGAGAATCTATACCATCTCAGATAAGTGACTGTCCAGTGAAGTCCACAGCTACACATTGAGAAGGTAAAGGCAGATTAGGGAGCAAAACCAATAACCATCTTGGGATTGCAGAAGGCAAGCATCTCCATGAAGTCAAGGACTCTCCTAACTGATTGGCATCTGTACAATAACTCTCCTAATTTAGTCTGTTCTTCAAGCTGGTGAATCATTTCCAAGAGTTTGTCTCACCCATCTTTATTTTGTGGAATGAGTTCCTGTTGATTTTCACCCCTCCTACTTCTAAGAGTTGGAAGGTTTGATTACCAAATTAGTATGTCATGGGATTGACCTGCCCCAGTGACATTTGCAGAAGAGGCAAGTTTCGGAACCCATTGGCCAAGAGATTTTGGCTGGCAGGATCAAGGAGAAAAATCTTGTCTGCCATGGGGCTCACCCTCTAGGACACCATGATTCTCAAGAGGAGACCTGACCCCACTCTTTGGACCTTAAAACCTGGCTCTGACCATTGGCCTTTGGGGGGTAGATAGGGCTGTGTCACTCTGGAGATGATTACTGGATTAGAAGACCCCACCTCTATTGTGCACCCACCCCTCTATCTTAAGCTATTTCTTTGTCAATTTGTATGTATTTGTTTCACCAAGTAATATAGGAATCAAAGAGATTTTTAAAAAGGGAAAGGTGGGTTGTCATTGTTTTTGTTTGGGATTCTGGCTTGGGCCAAACCAGATGTTGAGACAAGCATATCTGCTTAGGTCTGGAAGCCTCTAAAACGCTCACAAAAAGGATAAGATTCAATCACCTGGTATACCAGGAAGACCGCTGTCACCCCTTGCTCCAGGAAAGCCGCTTGGTCCAGGTGGTCCTGGGGGTCCTGTTCAAAGGAAAACAAGAGATGTAATTGTGTAACATTCTTGAGCACTTATTTCAAATTTTGGATATGGAAAGCATTGGATTTGTGGCTGATCCATTCATTGCCTTATTGTAGAAACAGAAATGTATCTTTAATTACCCAAACTCTCAAAAATGGGGTTCACAATATCTATAAACCTTTTATTTTATTTATTGATATAAAACATTTCTACAGTTGCCTATCTTTTAACCGACTCTGGGAAGCTTCCCATCCAAAAATATACATGCCCCACCAGTAAAGAATAGAATAGAATAGAATAGAATAGAATAGAATAGAATAGGATAGAATAGAATAGAATAGAATAGATCTGGAATGGACCTTGGAGTCTTCCAGTCCAGCCCCCTGCTGAAGCAGGAGAATTTATACCATCTCAGATAAGTGACTGTCCAGTCTCTTCTTACAAACCTCCAGTTGCTTCTCTCTTTGGTCAGTTTCCAACCATTGCTTCTTGTCCTTCCCTCTGGTGCTTTGGAGAATAGTTTGACCCCTTCTTCTTGGTGGCAGCCCCTCAAATACTGGAATACTGCTATCATGTTGCCCCTATTTCTTCTTTACTTTAGACTAGCCAAACCCAAGTCCTGCAGCCATTCTTCATATGTTTTAGTTTCCAGGCCTTGGATCATCTTATCTGAACTTTTACAAGGTCTCAACATCTTTTTTGTACTATGGTGACTAAAACTCGTTGCAGTATTTCAGATGTGGTCTCACTAGGGTTTTATAAAGCAGTACTAATACTTTGCGTGAACTTGAAGTCCACAGCTATACATTGAGAAGGTAAAGGCAGATTATGGAGCAAAACCAATAACCATCTTGGGATTGCAGAAGGCAAGCATCTCCATGAAGTCAAAGACTCTCCTAACTGATTGGCATCTATAGAATAACTCTCCTAACTTAGTCTGTTCTTCAAACTGGTGAATCATTTCCAAGAGTTTGTCTCACCCATCTTTATTTTGTGGAATGAGTTCCTGTTGATTTTCACCCCTCCTACTTCTAAGAGTTGGAAGGTTTGATTACCAAGTTAGTATGCCATGGGACATTTGCAGAAGAGGCAAGTTTCGGAACCCATTGGTCAAGAGATTTTGGCTGGCAGGATGAAGGAGAACAGTCTTCTCTGCCATGGGGCTCACTCTCTAGGACACCATGATTCTCAAGAGGAGACCTGACCTCACTCTTTGGACCTTAAAACCTGGCTCTGACCATTGGCCTTTGCGGGGTAGATAGGGCTGTGTCATCCTGGAGATGATTACTGAATTAAAAGATCCCACCACTATTGTGTACCCACCCTCTATCTTAAGCTATTTCTTTGTCAATTTGTATGTATTTATTGTCTTACTACTTTAATCATTTACTATGTCATTTTATCAGATTGAAAGCTGCCCAGATAGTGAGATGGGACCAAATGAATTGAATAAATTGATAAATTAATATGCAGTTGCCTAGGCAACACAACAAAAACACAAGGACAGCTCAGTCTCCTGAAGAAGATGACTCTGTTAATGGCACTAATGATTGTCTGGAAGAAACCAAATTTACCCAAAAATAGGGGCACTTCTAAATCCCTTCGGAGAGCATGATGAAGATGAAGGAGTCCAGAATGTTTCATCAGACAATGGAAGAATCAAAGAGAGTTTGAAAAAAGGAGGAAGAGGAGTGTGTTTTGTTTGGAATTTTGAAATGGGCAAAGCTAGAGATTGGGACAAGCACATCTGGGAGGTCTGGAAGGAAAGCCAACGAAATGGAGATACTCCATCACCTGGTGGACCAGGTGGTCCTGGGATGCCTGGGATGCCTGGTGGTACTTCAGGGCCAAGAGGTCCAATTCCCCCATTAGATCCTTGGGGACCTGTTCAAAGGAAAACATATACATGTAAATGTGTCACTCTCTTTAATAACCTTGGGCACCAATTTCAAATTTCAGATATAAAAAAGCATTGGAGTTTTGGAAGATCAGTTCATCATTCTGTTGTAGAAACATAAATATATTCTGAACTTCAATGACCCAAACTCTCAAATTGGGATATACAATATCTATGAGGCTCCTTTCCTTTCCTTTACTTTCCTTTCCTTTCCTTTCCTTTCCTTTTTTTCCTAATTCTCCTTCCCTTCCCTTCCCTTCCTTTTCTTTCCTCTCCTTTCCTTTCCTTCCCTTCCCTTTCCTTCCCTTCCCTTTCCTTCCCTTCCCTTCCCTTTCTTTCCCTTCCCTTCCCAAATTCTCCTTCCCTTCCCTTCCCTTCCTTCCCTTTCCTTCCCTTCCTTCCCTTCCCTTCCCTTCCCTTCCTTTCCCTTCCCTTCCCTAATTCTCCTTCCCTTCCCTTCTCTTCCTTTCCCTTCCCTTCCCTTCTTTCACTTTCCCTCCCTTCCTTTCCTTTCCTTTCCTTTCCTTTCCTTCCCTTCCTTCCCTTCCTTTGCCTTCCTTTCCCTTCCCTTCCCTAATTCTCCTTCCCTTCCCTTCCTTCCCTTCCCTTCCCTTCCCTTCCTTCACTTTCCCTCCCTTCCCTTCCTTTCCTTTCCTTTCCTTCCCTTCCCTTCCTTCCCTTCCTTCCCTTCCCTTCCTTCCCTTCCTTCCCTTCCCTTCCTTTCCCTTCCCTTCCCTAATTCTCCTTCCCTTCCCTTCCTTCACTTTCCCTCCCTTCCCTTCCCTTCCCTTCCTTTCCTTTCCTTTCTTTTCTTTTCCTTTCCTTCCCTTCCCTTCCCTTCCCTTCCTTCCCTTCCTTTGCCTTCCTTTCCCTTCCCTAATTCTCCTTCCCTTCCCTTCCCTTCTCTTCCTTTCCCTTCCCTTCCTTCCCTTTCCCTCCCTTCCCTTCCTTTCCTTTCCTTTCCTTCCCTTCCCTTCCTTCCCTTCCTTTGCCTTCCTTTCCCTTCCCTAATTCTCCTTCCCTTCCCTTCCCTTCCCTTCCCTTCTCTTCCTTTCCCTTCCCTTCCTTCCCTTTCCCTCCCTTCCCTTCCTTCCCTTCCCTTTCCTTCCCTTCCCTTCCCTTCCTTCACTTTCCCTCCCTTCCCTTCCTTTCCTTTCCTTTCCTTTCCTTCCCTTCCTTCCCTTCCTTCCCTTCCCTTCCTTCCCTTCCTTCCCTTCCCTTCCTTCCCTTCCTTCCTTTACTTCCCTTCCCTTCCCTAATTCTCCTTCCTTCCCTTCCCTTCCCTCTCCATTACCTTCCTTCCTTTTCACTTTCCCCCCCCTTCCCTTTTCCTTTCTTTCCTTCTTTCACTTCCCTTCCCTTTCCTTCCTTCCTTCCCTCCTTTCCTCCCTTCCTTCCTCCCTTCCTTCCTCCTTCCTTTCCCTTCCTTCCCTTTCCCTTCCTTTCCCTTCCCTTCCCTTCCCTTCCTTCCCTTCCCTTCCCTTCCTTTCCCTTCCCTTCCCTAATTCTCCTTCCCTTCCCTTCTCTTCCTTCACTTTCCCTCCCTTCCCTTCCTTTCCTTTCCTTTCCTTTCCTTCCCTTCCCTTCCCTTCCCTTCCCTTCCTTCCCTTCCTTTGCCTTCCTTTCCCTTCCCTAATTCTCCTTCCCTTCCCTTCCCTTCTCTTCCTTTCCCTTCCCTTCCTTCCCTTTCCCTCCCTTCCTTCCCTTCCTTTGTCTTCCTTTCCCTTCCCTTCCCTTCCCTTCCTTCCCTTCCCTTCCCTTCCTTTCCCTTCCTTCCTTACATTCCCTAAATTCTCCTTCCTTCCCTTCCTTCACTTTCCACTCCCTTGTCCTTCCTTTCCTTTCATTTCCTTTCCTCCCTTCCCTTCCTTCCTTCCCTTCTTCCCTTCCTTCCTTCCTTCCTTCCTTCTCTTTTCCCTTATTCCCTTCCCCTTCTAATTCTCTTCCCTTCCCTTCTTACTTCCCTTCCCTTCCCTTCCCTTCCTTCCCTTCCTTTGCCTTCCTTTCCCTTCCCTAATTCTCCTTCCCTTCCCTTCCCTTCTCTTCCTTTCCCTTCCCTTCCTTCCCTTCCCTCCCTTCCCTTCCTTTCCTTTCCTTTCCTTCCCTTCCCTTCCTTCCCTTCCTTTGCCTTCCTTTCCCTTCCCTAATTCTCCTTCCCTTCCCTTCCCTCCCTTCCCTTCCCTTCCCTTCCTTTCCTTTCCTTTCTTTTCTTTTCCTTTCCTTCCCTTCCCTTCCCTTCCCTTCCCTTCCTTCCCTTCCTTTGCCTTCCTTTCCCTTCCCTAATTCTCCTTCCCTTCCCTTCCCTTCTCTTCCTTTCCCTTCCCTTCCCTTCCTTTCCCTTTCCTTCCCTTCCCTTCCCTTCCCTTCCCTTCCTTCCCTTCCTTTGCCTTCCTTTCCCTTCTCTTCCCTAATTCTCCTTCCCTTCCCTTCCCTTCCTTCCCTTCCCTTCCTTCCCTTCCCTTCCCTTCCCTTCTCTTCCTTTCCCTTCCCTTCCCTTCCTTTCCTTTCCTTTCCTTTCCTTCCCTTCCTTCCCTTCCCTTCCCTTCCCTAATTCTCCTTTCCTTCCCTTCCTTTCCTTTCCTTCCCTTCCCTTTCCTTCCCTTCCCTTCCCTTCCATCTTCCCTTCTTTTCTGTCTTCCTTTACTTTCCCTTCCCTTCCCTTCCCCTCTCTTCCTTTCCCTTCCCTTCCCTTCCCTTCCCTTCCTTTCCTTTCCTTTCCTTTCCTTTCCTTCCCTTCCCTTCCCTTCCCTTTCCTTAAAACATTTGTATTATTTCTGTAATATTCAGTGGAGAAATCTGAAAATGGTGATGCCAGTCTATTGTTCCCATTGCAAAGGCAATTTATTTCTTTTTTGGAAAAAAATGCACTTTTGTTATTGGAATTTAAAAATGGGAAGATCTCTCTGTCTGTCTGTCTGTCTGTCTGTCTGTCTATTTGCTGCCCATCTGGTAATGAAACAACTCTGGGCAGCAAATAAATTCAATAAAGAAAGAAATAATCTTAACATTTTTAAACTCCAAGCTATGATTATAGATTTCTTCTGAAGAATTCATCAGTAAAATGTCGAGGCGAGAAACCACACAGAATGTTCTTCTGTTCATTAGCAACAGGATAATCTCTGATTATTTACAATTGTGTTTTTGATTGCTTAATCATTAGTATTGATTTTTTTTTGTTATTTCCAAGCTTACCTGGATAATTTATCTGCCCATGAGCTTTTACCAGTAAAGCAGCTGTTACGGCAAGGATCCAAACCAGCTGGAAGGACAGCATCCTTTGTCAACCAGCTAAATGAAGAAAAATATTTTCAGCAGATGGCCTTGCATCAACATAATTTTTATTTCCAAAATGACTCACAACAAATTGGAAAAAAACAGATTGAAGAGACTTACACCTGGATATAATGAGCAGTTTATTTAAATTAGAGAATGACATGATTGACAATAATGCTGGTGTGATGAGTGGTGGAAGGGAAAATGTAGACTAAGGAGACAATTTTTTTTTTTAAAAAAAATACCAGCCCGAGTTGCAGAATTCCACCCTCCGTGCATCAAGTAAAATTTCGTTCCTAATCCATACCTCAGTTTTGCACTTTTATGATGAAACAGCTACTTGTACTTCTGGGAACAATTTGATGCTGCAAGGAGTATTTATGGGAAGCATAAGTGCATATTAAATAGTCTTGATTTTGGCTAGTGAAGATCCATAGCATTGCATTATAGAGTATCCCCATGTCCCAAAAAGTTATATCACTTCACTATAGGAAGGTGACATCTTCTTCAGATTGAACTCAAGTTCTAGTGACTTCAAAAACATATTCATGTAGTCTCTTGGCAACAACATGGAAGTGGATTCCTTTTGCCTTTTTAAATTTTTTTTTAAAAAATGACTGTTCTGGACACCCAAATATCTGGTCCAACTTAGGATATCAAAATTAGCCACCCAGCTGACTTTCATATCTTAAGTTCCACCAGTTTGAACTTGTGTCCCACCACAATAGCAACAGGTCAGAGCTAGTCCGCCCTGCTGATTCCAGCAATACATTAACATATCTTCCTATTTTTAGTTTTTTTAAAGTTTGTTAGAATTGTGAATATAGAATAAAAATTAATCGGAACTAATCATTAGAATGGAGAGAGAAAAAAAACAAGAAAGAAGAAAAGAGCAAAGACCAAAGTAGAGAAATTGAAGAACAGGAACAAAAGGATTATAAAGAAGTGATTTCCAATTTTCTTTTATAGCAGCTACAAGTATCAATATAAGCTAACCTCTTACAATTGGGATGGGAAGAATTGGCAATTAAAACATATAGATGAATTAGCACAAGAAAATATTATTTATTCGTGGTTTCAGTATAGACAATTATTGGAAAGGTGGAAGATAGATTATAAAGTGGGCTTGATTAGAGAGGATGAAAATTTGTTGAAACAAATTAAAGATCAAAGTCGATCTCATATAAAAAGAATTTATGATGTATTAGTGGAGTTGGATTCAGAAACAGAATTAGTTAAAGATTGCATGGTTAAATGGGCTCAAAATTTTGATGAGCCGGTTTTATTAGAAACATGGGAGATAATTTGGGTGAGGAATGTTAAATTCACGCAAGCTCAAAATTTACGGGAAAATTTTTATAAAATGTTTTACAGATGGCACCTTGATCCACAAAAGATGTGTCGTATGTATTCAAATTTGCAACCTAAATGTTGGAGATGTGGTTGTTTGGATGCAACATATTATCATATTTGGGGGTCATGTAAAAGTATAAAAGCTTTTTGGATAAAGATATGGTGGAATATTCAAAAAATTTTTAAGAGAAGGATAAAGTTCACTCCACAATTTTTTTTATTAGGTATTATTGTTGATTGTGACGATAAAGAAATTATTTTAATGTTAAATTTAATTACAGCAGCAAGGTTGTTGATAGGACAATATTGGAAGAAGGAATTTTTGCCTACCTTGGAGGAATGGTTTTTTAAAGTTTCTTATTTATCTGAAATGGCAAAAATTTCGGCTTATTTGAAAGATCAATCACAAGAGAAATATCTCTTGGTGTGGAAAAGATGGATAAATTTTATACAGTATAAGTATGATATTAAAAGATATTATTTAGCTTTTGAATAATTTATGTTTAAAGTTTAAAGTTTAAGGTAATAAGTATTTTTTATTATACATATATATTGGACTTTTTTATTATATATATATATTGGATTTTTTTTTTTAATGTAACTTTTGTTTGAGGTTTACTTAAGTTTAAATGTTTTGTATTCTTAGTTTTAGTTAACCCTGTATTCAGCTCTGGGAAGAGGGGGGGGGATGGTTTTTGGGTGGGTAGGGAGGTAGTGGGAGAGGGATTTTATTGTAAAATTGTAAAACTTTTAATAAATAAAAAAAAAGCTAACCTCTTACAGCGTAGATTTCATTTTCCCTATGGTCTAGTGAAGGAGACCCTCTGCAATAATATATTCTCATTTGTTTAGAAAATGTTTGATACTTTCTCCCTCTTTAAATTAGCCGTTTTATTTCCATCTCTTTATTCTGCTAGTGGCTATGACATTGTCAACAGCATTTTCTTTAAACTGATAAATTAAAAAGGTGAAAATATCTGAATGACAACCCAGTGCTACCCTTCTTTATTGGAAAAGTATATATTTAAATTACTTTAAAGTTGCCCTTCTCCCCTTTTTTAATTTTAATTCCAATTAAGTCAGCATGACAGGCTGTTCATTACTATTATTACTACATTGCTTGGTGTGTTAATTTTAAAATTGGCATTGCATCTTTATGGACTTCTAAAACATATGATGGAATACTATAGATACCTACTCAAAGGAAAGTACTGCTCAATCATTAGCACCCTTCCACAACCAATTAGATAGAACTTGTAGCTTTGAACGAAGGATTTTAACTTACCCTTTTGCTTCAGGACAAAATAATGAGGAATGGTGAAAAAAATTCAATTTACAGTATGTGTATACAATTGTTGTTGGGTCTTCATTCTCTACCAGTCCCTTCTGTTTTATTTATATACAGTAGTTGTTCCATTTAGCAAAGCTACAATAACCATCTGTCAATAGTGATTGTCTTAAACCATAGGCCAATGGAGAGAAATAAATCTTTCTGCTGGAAATTGTTTGGACATTTAAGGTTTCTATAAGACGATCTAATTCATTCATAAGGATGAATGGTTACCAATGACAGACACTTGCAGAAACAAAAGAGAGCTTGAGTTGAATGCGAAGTCAGCGTGCTTACCAAAGTGTTTCTCGATCAGCTAAAGCAGTTTCTTCACCCTAGAAAAAGATGAAGGTTGATCCAGGAGGAGTAAATTCTCTTCTCTTTTCAACAGCAAGAAAAAACACAAGAGAGAAACCCATGCAGATGTGCATTTTATTTTACCTCTGCTCTTGCGCAAAATATCGGATTGCAAAATCGATCTTTGAATAGTTCCGCTTACTGGCATACATGCAGCCTCTTAGTATAAACCTTCACCCCGTTTATTCATTACAAAACCATTGTCAGTTGCCAAGTCAGATCAATTTGCACAGGGCTTAATTCCAATCAGTCCGTCAGTCAATTTAGAATTGACTGACTGACTGACTTTGATTGATTGATTAGGCATATAAGCCACTTCAACCCAACTCTTTGAGCAGTCCAATGGGTGGCTTAAAGATATATTGATTGCATGGGCAAAAAACATAGGGCACAATATAGAATTAGAAGATTGGGAAAGAATTTGGAATAAAAATCACAAAATAACAAAATCCGCTGCATATAAGGAAAATCAATATAAAATGCTATATCGTTGGCACCTAGCCCCTGCAAAATTAGCCAAAATGTATCCGAACTAAAGCCCAAATTGTTGGAAATGTAATTATCGTCAAGATACCTTCTTTCACGCTTGGTGGCTGTGCCCTGAAGTGAAAAAATATTGGAGCAAAATACAAGGGTGGCTACAAGACTTAACAAAATGTCAAATCGAATTAAATCTGGAAACATTTCTCCTGGGAATACTTAAAAAGAAATTTGATAAGAAAATAGGATATCTGATTTTACATATACTAACTGCGGCAAGAATTGCATTCGTGCAATATTGGAAGGAACGCAATATACCACCAGAGGGGTTGATTATTCAGAAAATTTGTGAATGTGCCGAGATGGACAAACTCACCTTAGAATTAAAAGACAAAGATGATTCGGAATTTTACGCGGTTTGGGAAAATTGGTATATTTGGATAGACAACAGAAACAAAAATTGGAAATACACATAAGGTTATTGTGCAAATTAGGTTATTGTGGGTTAGATTGAATGTACACAGTGCATATATTGTATAGAATGTAGATCCATAGTATATAAAAATGTCATAGTCTGCTGAATATGTACTGTATAAAGGAAAACGTTAATAAAAATATTTTTTTTTAAAAAAGATATATGTGGCTTTTAATCCTCTCCAGTTACCCAATGTGTAAAAAAGGGGTCAAAATTTTGAGACTTGGAGTCCACAAAACAGATGTTGCAACTCTGAGGCTGTGTTTGTTACATCCAGGTTCAAACTCTTTTCTGGAAGCTCCCGGGATAAGTAAACTATGACAAAGCAGAATACACAGCAAAATGGCAGATATTTTTCAGAGTCCTTCTTTAAACAATCTCAATTTATCCCAGTGAAGAAAACTTTCTCACTGTCCATGAATTAATCTGCCTCTTTGTTTTTACCTTTTTTTCTTCTCAGGGTTAGTTTATCAATTCCTCTTGGCCTTTCCAAGGCTTAGTTGAATGAGTGCTTAACCCTGAATTATAGTTGGTTTTGTATTTCTGATCAAACATTAGTTCTTATAAAAAGGTCTTTTTTTTCTTTTTCAACATTTTCTCTTTCTTTCTTTCTTTCTTTCTTTCTTTCTTTCTTTCTTTCTTTCTTTCTCTCTCTCTCTCTCTCTCTCTCTCTCTCTCTTTCTCCCTCCCTCCCTCCCTCCCTCCCTCCCTCCCTTTATTTCATCCCATCCCCTTTGTTCTGAGTAGCAATTCATTGCCAAAATATGATTCCATCCAAACTGAAATCCATTCACAGTTGCAAATAAATATAGATCAAATCTTTGGCTAGAATCTTTGACTAAAGCTTCAACATTTTCAAAATCTTTGAAGCTGGTGAAAACTGGTGATAAAGGTATATAATTGTCAGGGGTTCTCTTATTTACAGTTATTAGAAGGGTTTAAAGCAGAAAAAAGAATTTATGGTTTTGTTGAAAGAAAAGTCTTCATCCTGGTTCATTCAAGCCAGCGATAAATAAACAACATGGCGACTGCTTTGGGAAGAAGGTTGCAGTTTATTGAAGAGACAGAAAGATGGTTCTTGCAGGAAAGACCAGAGAAAGAAAGGAAGGGCTGAGCACATGGGTAGTAGGTTTTTATAGTCTCTGAAAGCTTTTTGTTTGGAATAGTTTCCTGTTCCTGTGGCATGAACTTGGAGGCTATTTCCTGTGCCACGTATTCTGACCTGAGTTTAGGTGTGCCCTCTCTGGTATTTTTTATAGTGATGGGTTAGTCCTATTATCATATCCTGCTTCCCTGGTGATGGGGCTAATGGCTCCTAGAGTTTGGGTAGTGTATTCAGATTTTAGGTCTTTGTCTTCTTGATCTCCTAGCTGGGGCCTTTCTGATGGTTTACATCTGCATTTGTATAGAGCTGGCTCCTGCTTGGGACAGAGAGACTTGGGGGCAGGGTTAGTTTCTGCTCTTTAAAATCCTTTTGAGGAAATATATTTTTCTGCCCTTTTTAATATTTCCTTCTCTGGGGCTGGCTTCCCACAATCCCCGCTTTGGGCCTTAAATGTGAGAATGACACACTTACTGGCACAAGGTTAAAACTGATCTGGTTAGGGAGACTTGGTAGACAAGCTTTTAAACTGTTAAGCAAAAAAAAAAAAAAGACATTAATGGAGGCAAAAGGATCCCTTCAGTGGCTCCCAAAAGGGGAGCTTCCAACCCATAAAGTTCTAAAAGTCAGGGTAAGCATTTTTTAGGTGAAAAAGAAATTTATACTGTCCAATATTCTGTGCCAATCATTTTCAGATGTTGGATGTCACTTTTAGCTTCCAGTCAGGTTTGCACATCCCTCCCAAAATTCTTCACAGCCATGATTTTCCTCAATACATAACCACTAGCTGCCCATTTTCAAGGGTTGTTTCCTGCCTTAGCTCTTAATTCAGTGCATCCAGGTTTGTGATGTCCAATTGAAGTTAGCCAGTATACAAGCCAGCTATCAATTTTTTCTTTAAATTGCACATAGTGAGCTCTAGGACTCCCAATCTGAGTCCATCAGTGCAAGATATTCAGGGTTGAGGTTTGGGGGTCTCTTTCCTGCTACTTTCTCAGTCAGGGCATACAAATTGCAAAATTGCCTGAGGGGGCCTGTTCTCTCCCCCTTGGAATTTGCTGGCAGTTGTGCCTACAAAGCTTTGGTGCAATAGAGCAAAAATCAGCCTGGGGAACTTTACTGAAAGTAAGTGAAAGAGACTCAGTGTGATAATAATAATAATAATAATAATAATAATAATAATAATAATAATAATAGTAGTAGTAGTAGTAGTAAAGTAGTAGTAAAGTTGGAAGGGACCTTGGAGGTCATCTAGTCCAACCCCCTGCTCAGGCAGGAAACCTTACACCATTTCGGACAAATGGCTGTCCAGTCTCTTCTTAAAAACTTCCAGTGTTGGGGCATTCAACACTTCTGGAGGCAGGTTGTTCCACTGGTTAATTGTTCTAACTGTCAGGAAGTTTCTCCTTAGTTCTAGGTTGCTTCTCTCCTTGATTAGTTTCCATCTGTTGCTTATTCTTCTGCTTTCAAGTGCTTTGGAGAATAGCTTGATTCCCTCTTCTTTATGGCAGCCCCTGAGATATTGGAATTCTGCTATCACAAAAATGTCTTATGTAGACAGACCACCGAAAGTCACCCTATCATGTCCCCCCTTGTCCTTCTCTCCGTTAAACTAGACATACCCAATTCTAGCAACCGTTCCTTATATGCTTTAGCCTCCAGTCCCCTAATCATCTTTGTTGCTCTTCTCTGTACTCTTTCTAGAGTCTCAACATCTTTTTTACATCGTGGTGACCAAAACTGGATGCCGTATTCCAAGTGATTATGTGTGTGTGTGTGCGGCTACTAATACAAAATAGGCATGTGTGTGTGTGTGCGACTACTAATACAAAACAGGCAATACAAACATTCTGGATAAAACTTTCCCTTCCAACAGGTAGAAGTCCAAGGTGTTCAGTACTTCCTGTGCCAACTATTCCCAAATGCCATCTCTCCATAAATACATTCAACTGGCTTGTTACAATACAAATGGGGCAAGAAAGAAAACTTTACATGACTTTTCACCCTCCCCCCAATAGTCTTTCTAATTTTTTTTCTGAGACTTCACATGGGACCAATGGTTCCAGGCTTTCTTCCTTCCTCTGCAGTTTTTGACAGGCATCTGGGGGAATGGTAAGACTTGGGAAGAGGTTCCACTCAGGTTGCATGGTGGCTTTTTAGTGGATGGCTGGATTCAAAACTCAATTCCATGGCTCAAATGGGTAGAGGCAGCATCTGGGTCAGTGTGCTCTGCTTCCAAAGGTTGGGGGGGGGTCATCTATGCAGGGCTGAAAGATACAAGAACAAGGTCTCCCCCCCTTTCTGGGTGGATTCCCCCAGGAGAGGCAGACAAAAAGTATGGAGAACAAAGGATAAGAAAAGAATTGGGAGGGGGCGTAGCTTGCAGGCAGTTTGAAAAGGCATTAATACTGCAGTTGTTAAAGAAACAGATAGGTAGACAAAATGAGGACATCCCAGATGAGAAAAGAAAAGCTGGATTCTCGTAAGAGAACAACAAAATGAAATGTTTCACTTTTGAACTTGAACATTTGCAACATGTTAAAGACAAGGACTTGCAACTTAAAAAAATGCTGGTCATGTTTCAGGAAAAGGATAGACAAATAAAACCCATATAGAAGACAAACCCATTTACAATACATTTCAGAATGATTTCCAGTGCTTGGGGCAGGAACCCATCAGGCAGAACACCCCCTCCTCACCTCATTGGCTATAAGGAATGCAGAACTGGTTAACAGCAATTAGAATTGACAGAATTAGAATAGAAACACCAAAAGATACACAACAATAAAATAATTAATACTGGATTCCCCCTGGAACAAAATTAACACCTTTTAGACAGAATTGAGAAGGAAATTAACCCAACAACAGACACTGAGCAAAATATCAGAAATGACAATTTTGGAAACCATGAAAGGGTATAAGAACTCATGTTTGAGGACCATTCTGTCTAGCTAGCTGGGGATTCATACTGAATGGTCATAATGTCTGTAGCTGGTCCAATGAAACAATGTACAAAGAAACGGTTTTCATCTATCAAAGAAAGGGACTGAGTTACTTAAAATAAATAAACTCACAGATTTTTTTGGAGCAATATTTAAACTAAACAAGGGACAGTGAGTTAATTGTTACAGAACATCCCTATCCCTGGCAATCAAACAATTACAGGGTTAGCAGTGCAAGTAACATAGATGTGTGTGTGTGTGTGTGGACAAGAATATCAACCTTGCTATCAAGCAAAATCAAGCTTTTAATAGCGAGTGTTGCACAAAGTGCAATAACCAAACATGTGGTAAGAAAATAGGGGAACTCAGACACCACATAGGTGTCAGCCATAAAGGACTCAAATGTCTATACACCAATGCACAGAGTATGAAAGTAAACAAGGTGAACTAGAAATTCAGGTAAATGAGGGCAGATATGATATAGTTGTCATTGTGGAAACATGGTGGGATAAAACCCACAAATGGAACACTCAGCTAGAGGGATTTCAATTGTTTAAAAGAAACAGACCAAATAAAAGAGGAGGTGGAGTTTCTCTTTATATAAGAAATACATATGTACAGAAATAGGACACAGCAATGATGAAAACTGTCTTAAATGCAATATAAAAGGGGAAAAAAATGACATTGCCATAGGTGTATACTATAGGCCATCAAACCAAATGAGAAACTGATGAACCTTTTGCTAGTCAGCTAACTAAGGTACGTAGGAAGCACATGACAATAGAACACAATCAAACTAGAGCCTTGGACTTTAAGAGCGATAATTTCAATAAACTTAGGGCTTAGGAGGGATTCCATGGATGAGAATCCTCAAAGGGAAAACAACTCAAGAAGCTTGAGAAATATTTTAAAAAATAACCCAGTCTAGTACAATACCAACAAAGAAGAAAAATAATAGCTCTCAAAAGAAACCAGCATGGCTGCATAAAGAACTCTCTGATAAATTGAAAGATAAAAGGGACAAGTTTAAAAAGTGGAAAGAGGGGCATATAACTAAAGCAGAATATCAGCAAATAGCCCGAGCCTGCAAAGATGAGGTGAGGAAAGCTAAGGCTCAAAATGAACTAAGGATTGTGACCAAAGTCAAAAATAATAAAAAAAGCTTCTTTTAACATGTAAAAAAAAACAAGAAAAAAGTTAAGGAAATGATTGGTCCATTAGTGGGGGAAAGTGGCAAGAAGGTGACAAGCAACAGGGAGAAAGCAGAACTATTTAATTCAATTTTTTTTTGCATCTGTCTTTACGAACTTATTAAACAGTACCATAAAAATAGATTAGAAACACAAGTTAAGATAGGCAAGAAAATAGTAAGTGAGCACCTACTCAGCCTAGACGAGTTCAGATCACCAGGACCAGATGGATTACACCCCAGAGTTCTCAAGAAACTGGCAGATGTGATCCCAGAACCACTGAACTATATTTTTCAAAGATCCTGGAGCACTTGGGAACTACCAGAGGACTGGAAAAGAGCTGATGTAGTTCCTCTCTTCAAACACCATCTGAAGTGAGGTGTTAAGAGGTGTGGAATTGGTATCTTTGGATATTGCCTGGAAGAGAGAGAATTAGCTCCAGATCAACCCCGACTGCTGTTTAGAGGGCCAGATCCTGAAGTTGAAACTCAGTACTTTGGCCACCTAATGAGAAGGAAGGACTCACTGGAGAAGAACCTAATGCTGGGAAAGATTAAGGGCAATAGAAGAAGGGGACAACAGAGAATGAGGTGGCTGGATGGAGTCCCTGAAGCAGTAGGCGTGAGCTTAAATGGACTCCAGAAGATGGGAGAGGACAGGAAGGCCTGGAGGAACATTGTCCATGGGGTCACGATGGGTCTGACACAACTTCTCAATTAACAACAATAACAACAACAACAAAATCCAGAGAAAATAATGTGATAATCTGGGTAAATATCTGGACTCTGGTTTCATCCCACGTTTTTGGATTTTGCTCAGTCTTCAACTACAAAACTTTTTCATCCTTCCCCAGTCTTCCTTTTAAAACTGAACCCTTAGGTAGTCCTTGACTTTACAATTGAGTCCAAAATTTCTGTTGCTACGTGAGACAGCTTTTCCCCATTTTACAAATTTTCTTTCCACTGCTGTTAAGTGAATTGCTGCAAGTATTACGTTAGTAACATGGTTGTTAAGGGAACATGGCTTGTCAGAAAGTTACAAAAGGGGGATCACGTGACCCCAGGGGGACACAGCGACCGTCATAAATGGGAGTCAGTTGCCAGGTGCCTGAATTTTGATCACGTGATGATGGGGATGCTGCAATGGCCGTAAGTGTGAAAAACAGACATAACACACTTTTTTTCCAGTGCTGTTGTAACTTGAAACAGTCATTGAATGAATTGTTGTAAGTCGGGGACCCCATGTACAACCCCACATCTCTATCCTAGTTGGATATTATTTTCCCTTTCGGAGATGACAAACAAAGTCTATTTCTTCTTTAATTTATTTTCATGGTCCTTATGATATTTTAATCAGCATCCTGAAGTTAGAACAATTAGTCAGTGGAACAAGCTGCCTCCAGAAGTTGTAAATGGGATTGGACAATGCTTTCTCTGAAATGGTAGAGGATCTCCTGCCTGAACAGGGGGTTGGACTAGATGACCTCTAAGGTCCCTTCCAACTTGATTATTCCATTCCATTCCATTCCATTCCATTCCATTCCATTCCATTCTATTCTATTCTATTCTATTCTATTCTATTCTATTCTATTCTATTCTATTCTATTCTTCATTCCTCTATTCCACTCCACTCCATTCCATTCAATTCCATTCTATTCTTAGATTTTCTGTTTACGAACATGCAATCCTTTTAGAATAGGTTTGTCTTTTGAGCGCAGGAGATAATACAAAAGCAAAGAAAATGCAAGGAATTCTATTGATTTTTTTTTTGACAGAAAAATCACATCAAGTTATGTTTTAAGGAACATTCAATGGTTGCCTTGGGGTTGGGTTTTAAAACTGACAGACCACAAGGCGGTAATTGTTGCACATTTTGTCATTCCAAGTGCCATCGCTGTACATTTCCACACATTTTTCAGTTCCTGGACCGGAAGGTTCATTCTTGTACCAGTTGGTAAAATTCAAAGGTTCCCCATTCTGGAAATGGAATTTCCCTGGCACATCACTTTCAATAATACCCAGATAGGCATAACTGTTGTAAAATTGCACAATCTCCTGAATAGCGTTGTTCTCTTTCAGGTTTCTTGGTGCAGCAATGGCGCCCTGGGCTTTTTTGCAAGTCAAGTCTGCTGTCTCAAAGACAGATGTCTTTCCAGTAGAGGCAAACAGCTTATCCCCAGCAATTGCCATCTTTTCTTCCAAGGTCAAAGCTGTCAAGAAATTTGGAAGCCTTGCTTAGATCCTTCAAAACATATAAAGAACGGTTGCTGGAATTGGGAATGTCTAGTTTAATGAACAGGAAGACCAGGGGTGACAGGATAGCAGTGTTCCAGTATCTGAGGGGTGGCCACAAACTAGAGCAGCGGTTCTCAACCTATGGGTCACGACCCCATTTGGGGTCGATCAACCATTTTGCGGGGGTCACAAAACAACGCGATCCGCCATCCCCCCCAGGGGGCGCCGCCGTGCATGCGCGGCACGACCGTGTGACGGCGTCACCGTCACACGAAGATTGAGAATCGCTGAACTAGAGGGAGTCAAGCTATTGTCCAAAGCACCTGAAGGCAGGACAAGAAGCAACGGATAGAAAATAATCCAAGGAGTGAAGCTAGAACTAAGGAGAAATTGCCTGACCGTTGGAGCAATTAATCAGGGGATTAACTGTTGCAGCCATCCAAATGTGGCCGCCATTTTGTGGGACAGAGATGGAGGCTGACTGACAAAAAAAAAAAGCCTCTGCATTTTGCTGCCTTGGAGAGGTCTCCGTGGTGCTGAAGAAGCCTCTGAACACGGCCAAAAGTTTCTGCAGTGCTATGCAGAGCTTTTTTTAAGGCAGCAAAAGGAAACAGCTGCCATTTTGTGGAAACACACGGCTGCCATTTTGTGGACAAGATAAAATGGCTTCCACTTTGGGAATCCCAGCATGCAGATGGACTTCTTCAAAAGGTAAATGAAGAGGAGGAAGGTGTTTGACCAGGTGGGTGGAAATCAGGGCTAAGACTGGAGTGGGAAAAGACCCATGGGAACCCAAGTCATGGGAAGTGGAGCATGGGGGATCCCTAGAAGATGGGCAAGGATGGAAGGTACACGGCTGGTGAGGCTGGGCCTGTGCCAGGACAGTCCTCCACCCAGAATGTTCCCTAGGTCCACTTAATGACCTGTACATTCCTTTTTCCATTTCATTGGGGAAAGCAAGCATGATGTGTGTGTGTGTGTGTGTGTGTGTGTGTTATTAGTATTACATTTCACCTAACAACGATTGCGACCTGTGATTAAAATGGGCAGACTCCATTATAGTCATATCTCAAAGACTACTTGTAGTCTCTTTTAGTGAATACCCATAACACACACACAGACACACACACACACAGAGAGAGAGAGAGAGAGAGAGAGAGAGAGAGAGAGAGAGAGAGAGAGAGAGGAGGCTAAGAATACACTCTTAAAAATAAAAGGACAGACATGAAGTGGCGCATGGGGCATCCCTAGAAGATGGGGGAGGAAGGGAGGGGCAGGGCTGGTGAGGCTGGGCCTGTGCCAGGTCTCCAGCAGAGTCCTCCACCCAGAATCCTCCCTAGGCTCCACTTAATGACCTGTACATTCCTTTTTCCATTTCATTATGGGAAGCAAGCATGGCGTGTGTGTGTGTGTGTGTGTGTGTGTTATTAGTATTACATTTCACCTAACAATGATTGCAACCTGCGATTAAAATGGGCAGACTCCATTATAGTCATATCTCAAAGACTAATTGTAGTCTCTTCTATTGAACACCCATAACACACACACACACACACACTCACACACACACAAAGGAGGCTTTGGGCTTTGGGACAAGGTGTGGTGCGAGCCCTTTTTGAGAAGTGGATTGATGAATTATTATCCCCGGGGGAACAATGTACTTTTTAAATTTCTTTTTTTTTTTACTATTTTGTTGTTGTTTTTAACTTAAGCTCGTCAGCAAGCATTTTTGTATTTATGTATTTATATCCTGCCTTTATTACTTTTTTTTACAAATAACTCAAGGTGATGAATATAGCCAGCAATATATATTCGATATATTCCTCCTCCTATTTACCGTATAAAAATAACAGCCCTGTGAAATGAATTGGGCTCAAAGAGAGCCCAAATCAGTGAATGTTATGAAGTCCCCTGAATGATATTGTGGATAGAATACACTCTTAAAAATAGAGGGACAATCTAACTTTAGGTTATCACATTCTTTATCAGTCGGTAATTTTTTTTTAAAAAAAGTCCCCGTTCCAGAAATTGAATTTTCCTGGATCATCACTTTCAATAATACCCAGATAGGCATTAACGGTTATAATATGTTGGTTCTCGTTCAGCTTTCTTGGCGATGCAAGGGAATAAGAATAAAAACTACTCACCCACTTTTAATTTGAAAAAGAGAAAGGGAAGCCATTAAAAACATACCTCTTTCTATTTGGCCGATTCTACGTTGGAGTTCTTTGACGTCATCTTGACTGGCAGGCAGACCTGTGGATGAAAAATAATGGATCTTCATTGTGCCATGGTTCAATTGAAGTTATTACTACTCTTACTTGACTATATGATCCTGTGACATGAGTTGGGATGGTACTTTCCTTGAATGGTGCATTGGATACAAATCAGCAATAGCCTGGCAGATTAGATAACAGGATGATTAATTGATTGATTTATAGGCCTAGAGTATTTCTTTAGTTTTTCAACCGAAACAAATGGATTTTGTTTTGTGTAGCAAATACCGTAAATGCCGGCGTACAAGGCGACCCGGCGTATAAGACGACCCCCGTCTTTATAGCCGAGCCGCATTCCTAGAACGTCGTCTTATACACCAGAAACTACCAGTATTTCCGGCGTATAAGACGACTCGGTGTATAAGACGACCCCCGTCTTTGGCGCCGATTTCAGTGCTCGCGGAAGTCGCCTTATACGCCGGCATTTACAGTACATTTTCATGTCTTCCTTTTTCTGAAAACTTCCCTGAACCCAATGTTATATTTATTATGCTTTAAAAATCAAAAACAAAATATAAATAAGAGGCTCTTGCAAGCCCTTCCACCGAGTCCCTTAATATCGGTATGCCAGGGTTTGCAACCTATATGTGTATTGGTGGGTCCTCAGGCTATTGTTGATACCTCCATCCACATCCCAAAGATATGGACTTTCTTGTTTTTCTTTGAAGATGTTTCGCTTCTCATCCAAGAAGCTTCTTCAGTTCTGACTGGATGGTGGGGAATGGAAGGATTTATATTCTTTGCAGACAGCTGGTCATTTGCCTCCTTTTAGAGAGTCGTTGAGGCCATTTGAAGGTTTACCTGTGTTCTCAGGATCACCTGAGTGGTGCAAATGGATGTAGAGCCTTCTTGGAACTGCTGAAACACAAGTCCTTTCACCAGTTCCAAGAAGGCTCCACACCCATTTGCACCACTCAGGTGATCCTGAGGACACGGGTAAACTTTCAAAATGGTTTCAAGGTTTCTCCAAAAGAAGGCAAATGACCAGCTGTCTGCAAGCAATATAAATCCTTCCACTCCCCACCATCCAGTCAGAGCTGAAGAAGCTTCTTGGATGAGAAGCAAAACATCTACAGAGAAAAACAAGAAAGTCCAGTTGCCTTGTGAAAAAGCATCTTTGGGACAACCAAGACCTGGATGCCTGAGAATCTCCATAGACACCTCCATCCATAATAAATACACATTTTGTGGCAAGATTTTGGGAAGGGTTCTCTTTTACCTCATTCCTAGGGCTGAGTGAGGGGGACTAGCCCTAAGATCACCCAGCTGGTTTTGTACCTAAAGCAGGACTGGAATTCACAATCACCTGGTCTTTAGCTTGATGCCCTAGCCACTACACCAAACTGGCTCTCTGCAACAGTATAGAAAAAAAATTGCGGGCAAATAATATTTACTTTCCCTCAGACTCTAGATATTGTTAATGCCAATCATGTATAGATTAGAAGAAAAATGGATTGCACTGAAATAAATTATGTGATCTGATGCAAACTCTAGAACGGCCTCTAAGACTGTAATATGTTTCAAGTTGCATCTGCCCTGTGAGAAGGTGAGACACTTCTCAGAGTTATATAAATGCTGGATTTCCTTGGGACAATAGATCCTCAAGTGAAGGATTTTTAATTAAAGAACATTTTATAAGTTAGTAATCTGTTGTTTTTGATTCAGGAAAAAAATAGATTCTTTTTTTTTTTTCAACTGTTACTTCAAATAGAGTTGGAAGCAGGTGTGTTTTAGTTTGAAAGTACGTGGTTCCCTCTAATGGCTGACTCTGCATAGGAAAAGCTGGTGAATTTGGGGTGGTGTAAATATTCATTTTATGCAAGATTAACCAATAATCAATTGAGTAACAATTAGCCCTCTTATTCATCAGCATTTCTGCAGGAGGCAATAAATCAAATAATTAATATTCTATAGTTGAAATCTGAGTCATGATTTTGCATTTCACAGCATGTCTGTGATTTAAAATTTATGGCCTTGCTCAGTCTGCGATCTGGGAAAGATTCGCATTGCAGATGGACAAAATTTCAGAGCTAGAAATGGTTTTGGTATGGTTGATTCTGGCAATTTTCTCTTTTCTCTTTTGGGAATTCTCTGGGCTATATACCTGTGAGCATTACACTCATACAGCAAGTTTTCTTAGGTTTCGATACTAATATAAAAAGATGTACTTTATGGTTTAATGTAGGTGTGTCTACCAGGAGAAAAGAAGAGACAAAAAACGCAGGAAATAAGAAAACTAAAATGAACAGTTCAATTAAAGACAAAATTAAGATTTAAACCCAATACATTCACAGTTTGAATTAACTGACAAGTAGGAGTCTGCTTTCTATGCTTAGCGGGTCTAAGTATGCATAGATTTAAACTTCTATTGCCAGTTGCTTTCTGAAGGAAATCCTCTAGAACTAAGGAACTCTTTTGGGCCAAAAAAAGAGAGAAGAAAATCAAGCTGATATGATTCTACATGGACTGGGGTTTGCCAACCTCATTCCACTCGCTAAACACTTCAGATATCTACTCCCAGCTGGTATTTACACCAGCCTAGGAGCTCTCCCTCCTGCTTTCTAAAATGTTATGTTTTTTTGCAATTATGGAACCTGATGTCAAAAGCATGAGGTTGAGAAAGGTGATGCTGGAAGTCAGCACCCACCCACCCTCCTAGAGAAGGAAATATTTTGGGGGATATTTTTTAAAAAGGCAGAATATTATATTTTCCCAAAAGAATAATGGAGGGGGAAAAAATCTTAAAAGGCTTTTGTGCCCAATTTTCCCCGGGCAGAAACTGAGCAGGCCGGCTCTGTAAAAATGCAGATTTGATAATCCTATTCAGAAAGACTAGGCCACCTATTCATAAGCAAAATGCCTTCAGCCCCAGCCCCAGAGAAGCAGGACATGACCTTTAGGACATAATAGGATTAACCCACCACCATTAGAATGCTAAAAGGGCACACACAAGCTCAGATCTAAGAACATACCACGGGAACAGGAAGAAGCTCAAATACAAAGCCACAGGAAGAGGAACAAGTCCAAACACAAAAGCCCAAGAAGACATGTAAAAACGCACCACTCCCAGTTGCATTTTGTCAGCTTTCCCAGAACCTCATGCTGTTGGTTATGTTCTTCAATAAATAGCAACTTCTTTCCAAACAGCCTCCATTTTATTTATTCCCGGCTTGGACTGGACCTGAAGATTTTTTCTTTCAACAATGACAATAGGATTGTGGAACAAAACCAATAACTACCTTTCGATCGCAGAAGGCAAACATCTCCATGAAGTCAAGTGCTCTCATAACTGATTTCCATCTCTGCAATAACTCTCATAATTTAGCCTCTGCTTCAAGATGAATCATTTCAGAGAGTTTGTCTCACCCATCTCTATTTCATCAAAGGGATTCCTGTTGATTTTTACCCCTCCCACTTTCAAGAGCTGGAGAGCTCGATTGCCAAATTAATATGTAATGCCCAGCTGCCAAGGCAACACAACAGCCACACAAGGAAAGCTTGATCTCCTTTTCATTTAAGAAAATATCCAGAAGATGGTTGAATTTAGTGACACTAATTACCATCGAGATGAAAATAGTTTACAAAAATTGGGGGAACTTCTAAATTCCTTCAGAAGACATGACCTCTATTAGGTTGAAGTAGTCTTGCAAAATAGTGTGTGCAAGCTTTTGAATGCGCCAGGAAGTGGTTCAGAATGTTTCATCAAGTAATATAGGAATCAAAGAGATTTTAAAAAGGGAAAAGGAGGGTTGTCATTGTTTTTGTTTAGGATTCTGGATTGGGCCAAGCCAGATGTTGAGACAAGCATATCTGCTTAGATCTGGAAGCCTCTAAAACGCTCACAAAAAGGATGACATTCAATCACCTGGTGGACCAGGGGGACCGCTGGCACCCCTTGCTCCTGGAAAGCCAGGAGGTCCGCTTGGTCCAGGTGGTCCTTGGGGTCCTGTTCAAAGGAAAACAGAGATGTAATTGTGTAACATTTTTGAGCACTTATTTCAAATTTTGGATATGGAAAGCATTGGATTTTGGTTGATCAGTTCATTGCTATGTTGTAGAAACAGAAATGTATCTTTAATTACCCAAACTCTGAAAAATGGGGTTCACAATATCTATAAACTTTCTTTTATTTTATTTATTTATATAAAATATTTCTACAGCTGCCTATCTTTTAACCAACTCTGGGAAGCTTCCAATCCAAAAATAGTCATGCCCCATAAGTAAAGAATAGAATAGAATAGAATAGAATAGAATAGAATAGAATAGAATAGAATAGAATAGAATAGAATAGATCTGGAATGGACCTTGGAGGTCTTCCAGTCCAGCCCCCTGCTGAAGTAGGAGAATCTATACCATCTCAGATAAGAGACTGTCCAGTCTCTTCTTACAAACCTCCAGTGATGGAGCATCCACAATTTCTGAAGGCAAGCTGTTCCACTGGTTAATTGTCCTCACTGTGAGGAAGTTTCTTCTTAATTCCAGGTTGCTTCTCTCTTTGGTCAGTTTCCAACCATTCTTTCTTGTCCTGCCCTCTGGTGCTTTGGAGAATAGTTTGACCCCCTCTTCTTTGTGGCAGCCCCTCAAATACTAGAATACTGCTATCATGTTGCCCCTATTTCTTCTTTACTTTAGACTAGCCAAACCCAAGTCCTGCAGCCATTCTTCATATGTTTTAGTCTCCAGGCCTTGGATCATCTTAGCTGGATCTTCTCTGATTTTTTTCCAAGGTCTCAATATCTTTTTTGTACTATGGTGACTAAAACTCATTGCAGTATTTCAGATGTGGTCTCACTAGGGTTTTATAAAGCAGTACTAATACTTTGCATGAACATGAAGTCCACAGCTACACATTGAGAGGATAAAGGCAGATTATGGAGCAAAACCAATAACGATCTTGGGATTGCAGAAGGCAAGCATCTCCATGAAGTCAAGGACTCCCCTAACTGATTGGCATCTGTAGAATAACTGTCCTAACTTAGTCTGTTCTTCAAACTGGTGAATCGTTTCCAAGAGTTTGTCTCACCCATCTTTATTTTGTGGAATGAGTTCCTGTTGATTTTCACCCCTCCTACTTCTAAGAGTTGGAAGGTTTGATTACCAAATTAGTATGTCATGGGATTGACCTGCCCCAGTGACATTTGCAGAAGAGGCAAGTTTCGGAACCCATTGGTCAAGAGATTTTGGCTGGCAGGATGAAGGAGAAGAGTCTTCTCTGCCATGGGGCTCACTCTCTAGGACACCATGATTCTCAAGAGGAGACCTGACTCCACTCTTTGGACCTTAAAACCTGGCTCTGACCATTGGCCTTTGGGGGATAGATAGGGCTGTGTCATCCTGGAGATGATTACTGGATTAAAAGACCCCACCTCTATTGTGTACCCGCCCCTCTATCTTAAGCTATTTCTTTGTCAATTTGTATGTATTTGTTTCATAAAGTAATATAGGAATCAAACAGATTTTTAAAAAGGGAAAAGGAGGGTTGTCATTGTTTTTGTTTGGGATTCTGGATTGGGCCAAACCAAATGTTGAGACAAGCATATCTGCTTAGGTCTGGAAGCCTCTAAAACACTCAAAAGAAGGATGACATTCAATCACCTTGTAGACCGGGAGGACCACTGTCACCCCTTGCTCCTGGAAAGCCAGGAAATCCGTTTGGTCCAGGTGGTCCTTGGGGTCCTGTTCAAAGGAAAACAAGAGATGAGCACTTATTTCAAATTTTGGATATGGAAAGCATTGGATTTATGGCTGATCCATTCATTGCCCTGTTGTAGAAACAGAAATGTATCTTTAATTACCCAAACTCTGCAAAATCGTGTTCACAATATCTATAAACCTTCTTTTATTTTATTTATTGATATAAAACATTTCTACAGCTGCCTATCTTTTAACCAACTCTGGGAAGCTTCCAATCCAAAAATAGTCATGCCCCACCAGTAAAGAATAGAATAGAGTAGAGTAGAGTAGAGTAGAGTAGAGTAGAGTAGAGTAGAGTAGAGTAGAGTAGAACAGAACAGAACAGAACACAACACAACAGAACAGAACAGAACAGAACAGAACAGAACAGAATAGAATAGAATAGAATAGAATAGATCTGGAATGGACCTTGGAGGTCTTCCAGTCCAGCCCCCTGCTGAAGCAGGAGAATCTATACCATCTCAGATAAGTGACTGTCCAGTCTCTTCTTACAAACCTCCAGTGATGGAGCATCCACAATTTCTGAAGGCAACTTCTGTTCCACTGGTTAATTGTCCTCACTGTGAGGAAGTTTCTTCTTAATTCCAGATTGCTTCTCTCTTTGGTCAGTTTCCAACCATTGTTTCTTGTCCTTCCCTCTGGTGCTTTGGAGAATAGTTTGACCCCCTCTTCTTTGTGGCAGCCCCTCAAATACTGGAATACTGCTATCATGTTGCCCCTATTTCTTCTTTACTTTAGACTAACCAAACCCAAGTCCTGCAGCCATTCTTCATATGTTTTAGTCTCCAGGCCTTGGATCATCTTAGTTGGATCTTTTCTGAATTTTTTCCAAGGTCTCAATATCTTTTTTGTACTATGGTGACTAAAACTCGTTGCAGTATTTCAGATGTGGTCTCACTAGGGTTTTATAAAGCAGTACTAATACTTTGCGTGAACTTGAAGTCCACAGCTACACATTGAGAGGATAAAGGCAGATTATGGAACAAAACCAATAACCATCTTGGGATTGCAGAAGGCAAGCATCTCCATGAAGTCAAGGACTCTCCTAACTGATTGATATCTGTAGAATAACTCTCCTAATTTAGTCTGTTCTTCAAACTGGTGAATCATTTCCAAGAGTTTGTCTCACCCATCTTTATTTTGTGGAATGAGTTCCTGTTGATTTTCACCCCTCCTACTTCTAAGAGTTGGAAGGTTTGATTATCAAATTAGTATGTCATGGGATTGACCTGCCCCAGTGACATTTGCAGAAGAGGCAAATTTCGGAACCCATTGGTGAAGAGATTTTGGCTGGCAGGATGAAGGAGAAGAGTCTTCTCTGCCATGGGGCTCACTCTCTAGGACACCATGATTCTCAAGAGGAGACCTGACTCCACTCTTTGGACCTTAAAACCTGGCTCTGACCATTGGCCTTTGGGGGGTAGATAGGGCTGTGTCACTCTGGAGATGATTACTGGATTAGAAGACCCCATCTCTGTTGTGTACCCGCCCCTCTATCTTAAGTTATTTCTTTGTCAATTTGTATGTATTTGTTTCATCAAGTAATATAGGAATCAAACAGATTTTTAAAAAGGGAAAGGTGGGTAGTCATTGTTTTTGTTTGGGATTCTGGATTGGGCCAAGCCAGATGTTGAGACAAGCATATCTGCTTAGGTCTGGAAGCCTCTAAAATGCTCACAAAAAGGATGACATTCAATCACCTTGTTGACCAGGAGGACCGCTGTCACCCCTTGCTCCTCGAACGCCAGAAGGTCCGCTTGGTCCAGGTGGTCCTTGGGGTCCTGTTCAAAGGAAAACAGAGATGTAATTGTGTAACATTCTTGAGCACTTATTTCAAATTTTGGATATGGAAAGCATTGGATTTATGGCTGATCCGTTCATTGCCTTATTGTAGAAACAGAAATGTATCTTTAATTACCCAAACTCTCAAAAATGGGGTTCACAATATCTATAAACCTTCTTTTATTTTATTTATTGATATAAAACATTTCTACAGCTGCCTATCTTTTAACCAACTCTGGGAAGCTTCCCATCCAAAAATAGTCATGCCCTACCAGTAAAGAATAGAGTAGAGTAGAGTAGAGTAGAGTAGAGTAGAGTAGAGTAGAGTAGAGTAGAGTAGAGTAGAGTAGAACAGAACAGAATAGATCTGGAATGGACCTTGGAGGTCTTCCAGTGCAGCCCCCTGCTGAAGCAGGAGAATCTGTACCATCTCAGATAAGTGACTGTCCAGTCTCTTCTTAAAAACCTCCAGTAACGGAGCATCCACAATTTCTGAAGGCAAGATGTTCCACTGGTTAATGTCCTCACTGTTTCTTCTTAATTCCAGGTTGCTTCTCTCTTTGGTCAGTTTCCAACCATTGTTTCTTATCCTGCCCTCTGGTGCTTTGGAGAATAGTTTGACCCCCTCTTTTTGTGGCAGCCCCTCAAATACTGGAATACTGCTATCATGTTGCCCCTATTTCTTCTTTACTTTAGACTAGCCAAACCCAAGTCCTGCAGCCATTCTTCATACTGCCTAAAACTGACTAAAACTCGTTGCAGTATTTCAGAGGTGGTCTCACTCAGTTTGTATGTATTTGTTGTCTTACTACTTTAATCATTTACTATATCATTTTATCAGATTGAAAGCTGACCAGATAGCGAAATGGGACCAAATCAATTGAATAAATTGATAAATGAATATGCAGTTGCCTAGGCAACACAACAAAAACACAAGGACAGCTCAGTCTCCTGAAGAAGATGACTCTGTTAATGGCACTAATGATTGTCTGGAAGAACCCAAATTTACCAAAAAATAGGGGCACTTCTAAATCCCTTCAGAGAGCATGATGAAGATGAAGGAGTCCAGAATGTTTCATCAGACAATGGAAGAATCAAAGAGAGTTTGAAAAAAGGAGGAAGAGGAGTGTGTTTTGTTTGGAATTTTGAAATGGGCAAAGCTAGAGATTGGGACAAGCATATCTGGGAGGTCTGGAAGGAAAGCCAATGAAATGGAGATACTCCATCACCTGGTGGACCAGGTGGTCCTGGGGTGCCTGGGGTGCCTGGTGGTCCTGCAGGGCCAGGAGATCCAATTCCCCCATTAGATCCTTGGGGACCTGTTCAAAGGAAAACATCCATGTAAATGTGTCACTCTCTTTAATAACCTTGGGCACCAATTTCAAACTTCAGATATAAAAAAGCATTGGAGTTTTGGAAGATCAGTTCATCATTCTGTTGTAGAAACATATTCTGAACTTCAATGACCCAAACTCTCAAATTGGGATGTACAATATCTATGAGGCTCCTTTCCTTTCCTCTCCTCTCCTCTCCTCCCCTCCCCATCCTTCTCCTCTCCTTTCCTTCCTTTCCTTCCCTTCCCTTCCCTTCCCTTCCCTAATTCTCCTTCCCTTCCTTTCCTTTCCTTTCCTTTCCTTTCCTTTCCTTCCCTTCCCTTAAAACATTTATATTATTTCTGTAATATTCAGTGGAGAAACCTGAAAAGGTTGATGACCGTCTATTGTCCCCATTGTAAAGGCAATTTATTTCTTTTTTGAAAAAAAAAATGCCCTTCTGTTAATGGAATTTAAAAATGGGGAGATCTGTCTGTCTATCTGTCTGTCTGTCTGTCTGTCTATTTGCTGCCCATCTGGTAATGAAACAACTCTGGGCAGCAAACAAATTCAATAAAGATAGAAATAATCTTCCCATTTTTAAACTCCAGTCTATGATTATAGATTTCTCCTGAAGAATTCATCAGTAAAATGTCAACGTGAGAAACCACACAGTGTTCTTCTATTCATTAGCAGCAGGATAATCTCTGATTATTTACAATTGTGTTTTTGATTGCTTAATCATTAGTATTGATTTTTTTTGTTATTTCCAAGCTTACCTGGATAATTTATCTGCCCATGAGCTTCTACCAGTAAAGCAGCTGTTATAGCAAGGATCCAAACCAGCTGGAAGGACAGCATCCTTTGTCAACCAGCTAAATGAAGAAAAATATTTTCAGCAGGTGGCCTTGCATCAACATAATTTTTATTTTCAAAATGAGTCACAACAAATTAAAAAAAAAGATTGAAGAGACTTACACCTGGATATAATGAGCAGATTATTTATATTAGAGAATGACATGATTATCAATAATGCTGGTGTGATGAGTAGTGGAAGGTAAAACGTAGGCTAAGGAGGCAATTAAAAAAAAAAATACCAGCCAGAGTTTCAGAATTCCACCCTCTATGCATCAAGTAAAATTTTCTTCATAATCCATACCTCCGTTTTGCACTTGCATGATGAAACAGCTACTTGTACTTCTGGGAACAATTTGATGCTGCAAGGAGTATTTATGGGAAGCATAAGTGCATATTAAATAGTCTTGATTTTGGCTAGTGAAGATCCATAGCATTGCATTACAGAGTATCCCCATGTCCCCAAAAGTTATATCACTTCACTATGGGAAGGCGACTTCTTCAGATTGAACTCAACATCTAGTGACTTCAAAAACATATTCATATAGTCTCTTGGCAAAAGTCTCTTGCCTTTTTTAATTTTTTTTTTAAAAAATGACTTTTCTGGACACCCAAATATCTGGTCCAACTTAGGATATCAAAATTAGCCACCCAGCTGACTTTCATATCTTAAGTTCCACCAGTTTGAACTTGTGTCCCACCACAATAGCAACAGGTCAGAGCTAGTCCGCCATGCTGATTCCAGCAATACATTAACATATCTTCCTATTTTTAGTTTTTTAAAAGTTTGTTAGAATTGTCAATATAGAATAAAAATAAGAATAAGAATAAAAAGTTTTTATAAGAATAAAAACTAATCATTAGAATGGAGAAAAAACAACAAGAAAGAAGAAAAGAGCAAAAACCAAAGTAGAGAAATTGAAGAACAGGAACAAAAGGATTATAAAGAAGTGATTTCCAATTTTCTTTTATAGCAGCTACAAGTATCAATATAAGCTAACCTCTTACAGCGTAGATTTCATTTTCCCTATGGTCTATTGTTTTCAGTCTAATCCTCAAAACTGTACATCGTGACTTCATTTTTCTTTTCTGTCTTCCACAAAAATCAATGAGGGGTGCCAATCATCGTAAAACTTAGACAATCTCCTATCTTTAATTAAAGTAGTCAGTTTGCCTTCCCAGCAAACATCAAAATGTCTTCTTCACAGAGCACGTTGTGTTCTATTTTACTTGGTAATAGACAAAATTTAATAATTGCAGTCTGCAGCAGTGAAGGACACCCTTTGCAATAATGTATTCTCATTTGTTTAGAAAATGTTTGATACTTCCTCCCTCTTTAAATTAGCCGTTTTATTTCCATCTCTTTATTCTGCTAGTGGCTATGACATTGTCAACAGCGTTTTCTTTAAACTGATAAATTAAAAAGGTGAAAATATCTGAATGATACCCTTCTTTATTGGAAAAGTATATATTTAAATTACTTTAAAGTTGCCCTTCTCCCCTTTTTCAATTTTAATTCCAATTAAGTCAGCACGACAGGCTATTCATTACTATTATTACTACATTGCTTGGTGTGTTAATTTTAAAATTGGCATTGCATCTTTATGGACTTCTAAAACATATGATGGAATACTATAGATACCTACTCAAAGGAAAGTACTGCTAAATCATTTGCACCCTTCCACTACCAATTAGATAGAAGTTGTAGCTTTGAACGAAGGATTTTAACTTACCCTTTTGCTTCAGGACAAAATAATGAGGAATGGTGAAAAAATTTCAATTTTCAGTATGTGTATACAATTGTTGTTGGGTCTTCATTCTTTACCAGTCCCTTCTGTTTTATTTATATACTGTATTTTCCGGTGTATAAGACGACTCGGTGTATAAGACGATCCCCGAATTTTGTGAAGATTTGCATGGTTAGAAAGTCATCTTTTACGCCGGAAAATACGGTATTTTCTGGCATATAAGATGCCTTGGCGTATAAGACAACCCCTGACTTTGGAGAAGATTTGCATGGTTTAGAAAGTTGTCTTATACGCCAGAAAATACGGTAGTTGTTCCATTACAGAAAAAAGATTTAGCAAAGCTACAATAACTATATGTCAATAGTGATTGTCTTAAACCATAGACCAACGGAGAGAAATAAATCTTTCTGCTGGAAATTGTTTACACATTTAAGGTTTCTATAGGACGATCTAATTCTTTCATAAAGATGAATGGTTACCAATGACAGACACTTGCAGAAACAAAAGAGAGCTTGAGTTGAATACGAAGTCAGCGTGCCTTACCAAAGTGTTTTTCGATCAGCTAAAGCAGTTTCTTCACCCTAGAAAAAGATGAAGGTTGATCCAGGAGGAGTAAATTCTCTTCTCTTTTCAACAGCAGGAAAAAACACAAGAGAGAAACCCATGCAGATGTGCATTTTATTTTACCTCTGCTCTTGCGCAAGATATCGGACTGCGAAATCAATCTTTGCATCGTTCCGCTTACTGGCATGCATGCAGCCTCTTAGTATAAACCTTCACCCCATTTATTTATTACAAAACCATTGTCAGTTGCCAGATCAGATCAGTTTGCACAGGGCTCAATTCCAATCAGTCCGTCAGTCAATTTAGAATTGACTGACGGACTGGCTTTGATTGATTGATTAGGCTTATAAGCCACTTCAACCCAACTCTTTGAGCAGTCCAATGGGTGGCTTAAAGATACATTGTTTGCATTTAAGGAAAATCAATATAAAATGCTATATCGTTGACACCTAGCCCCTGCAAGATTAGCCAAAATGTATCCGAACTAAAGCCCAAATTGTTGGAAATGTAATTATCGTCAAGGTACCTTCTTTCACGCTTGGTAGCTGTGCCCTGAAGCGAAAAAATATTGGATTAAAATACAAGGGTGGCTACAAGACTTAACAAAATGTCAAATCGAATTAAATCTGGAAACATTTCTCCTGGGAATACTTAGAAAGAAATTTGATAAGAAAATAAGATATCTGATTTTACATATACTAACTGCGGCAAGAATTGCATTCACGCAATATTGGAAGGAATGCAATATACCACCAGAGGGGTTGATTATTCAGAAAATTTGTGAATGTGCCGAGATGGACAAACTTACCTTAGAATTAAAAGTCAAAAATGATGCGGAATTTTACGCAGTTTGGGAAAATTGGTATATTTGGATAGACAACAGAAACAAAAATTGGAAATATACATAAGGTTATTGTGCAAATTAGGTTATTGAGGGTTAGATTGAATGTACACAGTGCATATATTGTATAGAATGTAGATCCATAGTATATAAAAATGTCATAGTCTGCTGAATATGTACTGTATAAAGGAAAACGTTAATAAAAATATTTTTTTAAAAAAAAGATATATGTGGCTTTTAATCCTCTCCAGTTACCCAATGTGTAAAAAAGGGGTCAAAATTTTGAGACTCGGAGTCCACAAAACAGATGTTGCAACTCCGAGGCTGCATTTGTTACATCCAGGTTCAAACTCTTTTCTGGAAGCTCCTGGGATAAGTAAACTATGACAAAGCAGAATACACAGCAAAATGGCAGATATTTTTCAGAGTCCTTCTTTAAACAATCTCAATTGTGGGTCTGACTTCCCACAATCCCCGCTTTGTGCCTTAAATGTGAGAATGACACACTTACTGGCACAAGGTTAAAACTGATCTGGTTAGGGAGACTTGGTAGACAAGCTTTTAAACTGTTAAGCAAAAAAAAAAAGACATTAATGGAGGCAAAAGGATCCCTTCAGTGGCTCCCAAAAGGGGAGCTTCCAACCCATAAAGTTCTAAAAGTCAGAGTAAGCATTTTTTAGGTGAAAAAGAAATTTATACTGTCCAATATTCTGTGCCAATCATTTTCAGATGTTGGATGTCACTTTTAGCTTCCAGTCAGGTTTGCACATCCCTCCCAAAATTCTTCACAGCCATGATTTTCCTCAGTACATAACCACTGGCTGCCCATTTTCAAGGGTTGTTTCCTGCCTTAGCTCTTAGTTCAGTGCATCCAGGTTTGTGATGTCCAATTGAGGTTAGCCAGTGTACAAGCCAGATATCAAATTTTTCTTTAAATTGGACATAGTGAGCTCTAGGACTCCCAATCTGAGTCCACCAGTGCAAGATATTCAGGGCTGAGGTTTGGGGGTCTCTTTCCTGCTACTTCCTCAGTCAGGCCATACAAATTGCAAAATTGCCTGAGGAGGCCTGGTTCCCTCCCGCTTGGAATTTGCTGGCAGTTGTGCCTACAAAGCTTTGGTGCAATAGAGCAAAAATCAGCCTGAGGAACTTTACTGAAAGTAAGTGAAAGAGACTCAATGTGATTATGAATAGTGTGTGCATGTTGTGTGTGTATGCGGCTACTAATACAAAACAGGCAATACAAACATTCTGGATAAAACTTTCCCTTCCAACAGGTAGAAGTCCAAGGTGTTCAGTACTTCCTGTGCCAACTATTCCCAAATGCCATCTCTCCATAAATACATTCAACTGGCTTGTTAGAATACAAATGGGGCAAGAAAGAAAACTTTACATGATTTTCCATGCTCCCCCCATAGTCTTTCTAATTTTTTTTCTGAGACTTCTTCACCTTTCTGGATGGATTCCCCCAGGAGAGGCAGACAAAAGGTATGGAGAATAAAGGATAAGAAAAGAATTGGGAGGGGGCGTAGCTTGCAGGCAGTTTGAAAAGGCATTAATACTGCAGTTGTTAAAGAAACAGATAGGTAGACAAAATGAGGACATCCCAGATGAGAAAAGAAAAGCTGGATTCTGGTAAGAGAACAACAAAATGAAATGTTTCACTTTTGAACTTGAACATTTGCAACATGTTAAAGACAAGGACTTGCAACTTAAAAAAATGCTGGTCATGTTTCAGGAAAAGGATAGACAGATAAAACCCATTTAGAAGACAAACCCATTTACAACATGTTGCAGAATGATTTCCAGAGCTTGGGGCAGGAACCCATCAGGCAGAACACACCCTCCTCACCCCACTGGCTATAAGGAATGCAGAACTGGTTAACAGCAATTAGAATTGACAGAATTAGAATAGAAACATCAAAAGGTACACAACAATAAAATAATTAACACTGGATTCCCCCTGGAACAAAATTAACACCTTTTAGACAGAATTGAGAAGGAAATTAACCCAACAACAGACACTGAGCAAAAAATCAGAAATGACAATTTTGGAAACCATGAAAGGGTATAAGAACTCATGTTTGAGGACCATTCTGTCTAGCTAGCCGGGGATTCATACTGAATGGTCACAATGTCTGTAGCTGGTCCAATGAAACAATGTACAAAAGAAACGGTTTGCATCTATCAAAGAAAGAGACTGAGTTACTTAAAATAAATAAACTCACAGATTTTTTGGAGCAATATTTAAACTAAACAAGGGACAGTGAGTTAATTGTTACAGAACATCCCTATCCCTGGCAATCAAACAATTACAGGGTTAGCAGTGCAAGTAACATAGATGTGTGTGTGTGGACAAGAATATCAACCTTGCTATCAAGCAAAATCAAGCTTTTAATAGCGAGTGTTACACAAAGTGCACTAACCAAACACGTGGTAAGAAAATATGGTGTCAGTCATAAAGGACTCAAATGTCTATACTCCAATGCACAGAGTATGAACAGTAAACAAGGTGAACTAGAAATTCAGGTAAATGAGGGCAGATATGATATGGTTGTCATTGTGGAAACATGGTGGGATAAAACCCACAAATGGAACACTCAGCTAGAGGGATTTCAATTGTTTAAAAGAAACAGACCAAATAAAAGAGGAGGTGGAGTTTCTCTCTATATAAGAAATACATATCTACAGAAATAGGGCACAGCAATGATGAAAACTGTCTTAAATGCAATATAAAAGGGGAAAAAATGACATTGCCATAGGTGTATACTATAGGCCCTCCAACCAAATGGGAAACTGATGAACTTTTTGCTAGTCAGCTAACTTAGGTACGTAGGAAGCACATGACAATAGAACACAATCAAACTGGAGTCTTGGACTTTAAGAGCGATAATTTCAATAAACTTAGGGCTTAGGAGGGATTCCATGGATGAGAATCCTCAAAGGGAAAACAACTCAAGAAGCTTGAGAAATATTTTAAAAAATAACCCGGTCTAGCACAATACCAACAAAGAAGAAAAATAATAGCTCTCAAAAGCAACCAGCATGGCTGCATAAAGAACTCTCTGATAAATTGAAAGATAAAAGGTACAAGTATAAAAAGTGGAAAGAGGGGCACATAACTAAAGCAGAATATCAGCAAATAGCCCGAGCCTGCAAAGATGAGGTGAGGAAAGCTAAGGCTCAAAATGAACTAAGGCTTGTGACCAAAGTCAAAAATAATAAAAAAGCTTCTTTCAACATGTAAAAAAAAACAACAAAAAAAGTTAAGGAAATGATTGGTCCATTAGTGGGGGAAAGTGGCAAGAAGGTGACAAGCAACAGGGAGAAAACAGAACTATTTAATTCAATTTTTTTTGCATCTGTCTTTACAAACTTATTAAACAGTACCATAAACCTATTAAAAACAGTACCATAAAAATAGATTAGAAACACAAGTTAAGGCAAGAAAATGGTAAGTGAGCACCTTCTCAGCGTAGATGAGTTCAAATCACCAGGACCAGATGGATTACACCCCAGAGTTCTCAAGAAACTGGCAGATGTGATCCTAGAACCACTGAACTATATTTTTCAAAGATCCTGGAGCACTTGGGAACTACCAGAGGACTGGAAAAGAGCTGATGTAGTTCCTCTCTTCAAACACCATCTGAAGTGAGGTGTTAAGAGGTGTGGAATTGATACCCAACAATTGGTATCTTTGGATATTGCCTGGAAGAGAGAGAATTAGCTCTCTTCAGATCCTGAAGTTGAAACTCAAGTACTTTGGCCACCTAATGAGAAGGAAGGACTCACTGGAGAAGAGCCTGATGCTGGGAAAGATGGAGGGCAAGAGAAGAAGGGAACGACAGAGAATGAGGTGGCTGGATGGAGTCCCTGAAGCAGTAGGCGTGAGCTTCAATGGACTCCAGAAGATGGCAGAGGACAGGAAGGCCTGGAGGAACATTGTCCATGGGGTCGCGATGGGTATGACACAACTTCTCAATTAACAGCAATAACAACAACAACAAAATCCAGAGAAAATAATGTGATAATCTGGGTAAATATTTGGACTCTGGTTTCATCCCACGTTTTTGGATTTTGCTCAGTGTTCAACTACAAAACTTTTTCATCCTTCCCTAGTCTTCCTTTTAAAACTGAATCCTTACCTTCTCACCCACTGCCTGTAGGTAGTCCTCGACTTTGCGACTTTACAATTGAGTCCAAAATTTCTGTTGCTACGTGAGACAGCTTTTCCACATTTTACAAATTTTCTTTCCACGGCTGTTAAGTGAATCGCTGCAAGTATTACGCTAGTAACATGGTTGTTAAGGGGACATGGCTTGTTAGAAGGTTACAAAAGGGGATCACGTGACCCCAGGGGGACACTGCAATCGTCATAAATGGGAGTTAGTTGCCAGGTGCCTGAATTTTGATCACGTGACAATGGGGATGCTGCAACGGCCGTAAGTGTGAAAAACGGAAATAACACTTTTTTTCCAGTGCTGTTGTAACTTGAAACGGTCATTAAATGAATTGTTATAAGTCGGAGACCCCACGTACAACCCCACATCTCTTTCCTATCTGGATATTATTTTCCCTTTCGTAGGTGACAGTAACCACAAAGTCTATTTCTTCCTTAATTTATTTTCATGGTCCTTATGATATTTTAACCAGCATCCTGAAGTTAGAACAATTAGTCAGTGGAACGAGTTGCGTCCAGAAGCTATAAATGGGATTGGTCAACACTTTCTCTGAAATGCTAGAGGATCTCCTGCCTTTACAGGGGGTTGGACTAGATGACCTCTAAGGTCCCTTCCAACTCGATTATTCTATTCTATTCTATTCTATTCTATTCTATTCTATTCTATTCTATCCCATCCCATCCCATCCCATCCCATCCCATCCCATCCCATCCCATCCCATCCCATCCCATCCCATCCTATTCTATTCTATTCTATTCTATTCTATTCTATTCTATTCTATTCTATTCTATTCTATTCTATTCTTCATTCCTCTATTCCATTCTATTCCATTCCATTCCATTCTTAGATTTTCTGTTTACAAAAATGCAATCCTTTTAGAATAGGTTTGTCTTTTGAGCGCAGGAGATGAAACGAAAGCAAAGAAAATGCAAGGAATTTTATTGATTTTTTTTGACAGAAAAATCACATCAAGTTATGTTTTAAGGAACATTCAATGGTTGCCTTGGGGTTGGGTTTTAAAACTGACAGACCACAAGGCGGTAATTGTTGCACATTTTGTCATTCCAAGTGCCATCGCTGTACATTTCCACACATTTTTCAGTTCCTGGACCGGAAGGTTCATTCTTGTACCAGTTGGTAAAATTCAAAGGTTCCCCATTCTGGAAATGGAATTTCCCTGGCACATCACTTTCAATAATACCCAGATAGGCATAACTGTTGTAAAATTGCACAATCTTCTGAATAGCGTTGTTCTCTTTCACGTTTCTTGGTGCAGCAATGGCGCCCTGGGCTTTTTTGCAAGTCAAGTCTGCTGTCTCAAAGACAGATGCCTTTCCAGTAGAGGCAAACAGCTTATCCCCAGCAATTGCCATCTTTTCTTCCAAGGTCAAAGCTGTCAAGAAATTTGGAAGCCTTGCTTAGATCCTTCAAAACATATGAAGAACAGTTGCTGGAATTGGGAATGTCTAGTTTAATGAAAAGAAAGACCAGGGGTGACATGATAGCAGTGTTCCAGTATCTGAGGGGTGGCCACAAACTAGAGGGAGTCAAGCTATTCTCCAAAGCACCTGAAGGCAGGACAAGAAGCAACGGGTGGAAACTAATCCAAGGAGTAAATCAAGCTAGAACTAAGGAGAAATTGCTTGACCGTTGTTGCAGTCATCCAAATGTGGCCACCATTTTGTGGGACAGAGATGGGACAAAATGGAGGTTGACAGACAAAAAAAAAAGCCTCTGCATTTTGCTGCCTTGGAGAGGTCTCCGTGGTGCTGAAGAAACCTCTGAACACGGCCAAACGTTTCTGCAGCGCCATGCAGAGCTTTTTTAAGGCAGCAAAAGGAAACGGCTGCCATTTTGTGGACACACACGGCTGCCATTTTGTGGACAGACACAGCTGCCATTTTCTGGACAAGACAAAATGGTTTCCTCTTTGGGAACCACAGCATGCAGATGTGCAAAGAAGGAAGCTGGATGGTGGACTTCTTCAAAAGGTAAATGAAGAGGAGGAAGGTGTTTGACCAAATGGGTGGGAATCAGGGCTAAGGCTGGAGCGGGTAAAGACCCATGGGAACCAAGTCATGGGAAGTGGAGCATGGGGGATCCCTAGAAGATGGGAGAGGATGGGAAGGGCAGGGCTGGTGAGGCTGGGCCAGTGTCAGGCCTCCAGCAGAGTCCTCCACCCAGAATGCTCCGTAGGCTCCACTTAATGACTTGTACATTCCTTTTTCCATTTTATTGGGGAAAGCAAGCATGGTGTGTGTGCGTGTGTGTGTGTATGTGTTATTAATATTACGTTTCACCTAACAACGGATGCAACCTGCAATTAAAATGGGCAGACTCCATTATAGCCATATCTCAAAGACTAATTGTAGTCTCTTCTATTGAACACCCATAACACATACACATATACACACACATACACACAGAGGAGGCTTTGGGCTTTGGGACAAGGTGTGGTGCGAGCCTTTCTTAAGAAGTGGATTGATGAATTATTATCCCAGGGCAACAATGTACTTTTTAAATTTCTTTCTTTCTTTTTTTTTTTTTGACTATTTTGGTGCTGTTTTTAACTTAAGCTGGTCAACAAGCATTTTTTATTTATTTATTTATTTATATCCTGCCTTTATTAGGTTTTTTTTTTTTACAAATAACTCAAGGTGATGAATATAGCCAGCAATATATATTCAATATATTCCTCCTCCTATTTACCTTATAAAAATAACAGCCCTGTGAAATGAATTGGGCTCAAAGAGAAGAATTGGTCCAAAGTCAGCCAGGTGGGACTAAAACTCACATTTTCCTGGTGATTAGACTAAAGCCATTCAGACAGCTTTTGTGTCTATGGCAGGACTAGAACTCAGAGTCTCCTGGTGATTGGCTCAAAGTCACTCAGCTGGCTTTCATTCCTAAGGTGGGACTAGAACTCACAGTCTCCTGGTGATTGGGCTAAAAAGCCATTCAGACAGCTTTTATGTTTAAGGCAGGATTAGAACTCAGAGTCCCCTGGTGACTGGCCCAAAGTAGCCCGGTGCTTAGAACAAATTGGATGGCGAGTGGCTAACTATACAAATAGAATTAATAAATGAGTGAATGAGTGAGTGAATGTATAAATGAATGAACAAGTGTTAAGTAAAATAATTTCTTTGTTTCTCTTTTTCTACTGCAAAGCTGGGAGAGTCCATATTTCCTTTTATAAATGATGGGAAATCACAAGTTTCATAGAACTGGATTGCTTGTGAGCTCTCAGTATTGATAGCAACCACTGTTGGGACTGGCAACTTGGTAGTTAAAGCAAAGTAGCTGCTAAGAGAAACAGGGTTATGCTTATGATTTGACTTCAACTTTATTTTATGTATTTGCCAAGGTCGTAAATGTGAAGATAGGTTGCAAAATTACTTTTTCATCCCTATTGCAATTGTAAATAGTTACCAAACAAGACTCATAGTACTTCTAGTTTAGTTCTGGGTATCCCCGGATCCATTAAGAACATCGGGTTCAAAGATAAATAGATTTATAGAATTGACTTTATATTGTTTGATTGCTAAGTGGCAATCTGGTTGTACCTGAGTGGAACTAAGGCTTGCAACTTCATTTCTGGTTTTTGTTAGAAAGTGGCAATAAATTTTCTGAACTGCTATTTTATGAAGTCATTAAGGTTAAAAAAAAAGCAGTGTCTGGTTTGTACCATGGCTATATGCTGATGGAAGCTACTATTCCCATCTATATTAAAAATGGTATTTATTGCTTCAAGCAAAGGGGGCTGGACTAGTAGACCTCCAAGGTCCCTTCCCTTTGATTCTAATTTGAATCTCTCATGATCCTGTATTCAGTCTAAAAATGACATTTGGTAATCCACTGAAGAAACATCAGTGAACGTTATGAAGTCCCCTGAATGATATGCTGGATAGAATACATTCTTAAAAATAGAGGGACAATCTAACTTTAGGTTATCGCGTTCTTTATCAGTTGGTAAAATAAAAAAAGTCCCCATTCCAGAAATTGAATTTTCCTGGATAATCACTTTCAATAATACCCAGATAGGCATTAACGGTTATAATATGATATAGTCTTCTGAACAGCTTTTGTCTCGTTCAGCTTTCTTGGCGATGCAAGGGAATAAGAATAAAAACTACTCACCCACTTTTAATCTGAAAAAGAAAAAGGGAAGCCATTAAAAACATACCTCTTTCCATTCGGGCAATTCTACGCTGGAGTTCTTTGATGTCGTTTTGTAGTTTAGGATCTTGACTGGCAGGCAGACCTGTGAATGAAAAATAATGGATCTTCATTGTCCCACAGTTCAATTGAAGTTATTACTACTCTTACTTGACTATATGATCCTGTGACATGAGTTGGGACAGTACTTTCCTTGAATGGTGCATTGGAGTACAAATCAGCAATAGCCTGGCAGATTAGATAACAGAATGATTAATTGATTGATTTATAGGCCTAGAGTATTTCTTGTGTCTTTCAACCAAAACAAATGGATTTTGTTTTGTGTCGCAAATACATTTTTGTGTCTTCCTTTTTCTGAAAACTTCCCTGAACCCAAAGTTATATTTATTATTCTTTTAAAAAAACAAAATATAAATAAGAGGCTCTTGCAAGCCCTTCCACCAAGTCCCTTAATATTGGTATGCCAGGGTTTGCAACATATATTGGTGGGTCCTCAGGCTATTGTTGACACCTCCATCCAAACCTTAAAGATGCTTTTTCAGGAGGCAACTGGACTTTCTTGTTTTTCTTTTAAGGTGTTTCGCTTCTCATGCAAGAAGCTTCTTCAGTTCTGACTGGATGGTGGGGAATGGAAGGATTTATACTCCTTGCAGACAGTTGGTAATTTGCATTATTTTAGCGGGTCGTTGAGGCCATTTGAAGGTTTACCTGTGTTCTCAGGGCCACCTGAGTGATGCTAATGGGTGTGGAGCCTTCTTGGAACTATGGAAAGGACTGTCTCCAGTCTACAACACAATTCCTTTCAGCAGTTCCAAGAAGGAACTCCCCACCATCCAGTCAGAGCTGAAGAAGCTTCTTGGATGAGAAGCGAAACATTTACAGAGAAAAACAAGAAAGTCCAGTTGCCTTGTGAAAAAGCATCTTTGGGACAACCAAGACCTGGATGCCTGAGAATCTCCATAGATACCTCCATCCATAATAAATACACATTTTGTGGCAAGATTTTGGGAAGGGTTCTCCCTTTTCCTCATTCCTAGGGCTGAGTGAGGGGAACTAGCTCTAAGATCACCCAGCTGGTTTTGTACCTAAAGCAGGACTGGAATTCACAGTCACCTGGTCTTTAGCTTGATGCCCTAACTACTACACCAAACTGGCTCTCTGCAACGGTATAGAAAAAAATTGGGGGCAAATAACAGTCATTTGCTTTGTTTTAGAGGGTCATTGAGGCCATTTGAAGGTTCATCTGTGTCCTCAGGGCCACCTGAGTGGTGCAAATGGCTGTGGAGCCTTCTTGGAATTGTTGAAAGAACTGTGTTGTAGACTAGAGGCAGTCCTTTCAGACAGTCCTGAAAATTTTTTTCTTTCAACAATGACAATAGGATTGTGGAGCAAAACCAATAAATACCTTTTGATCGCAGAAGGCAAACATCTCCATGAAGTCAAGTGCTCTCATAACTGATTTCCATCTCTGCAATAACTCTCATAATTTAGCCTCTGCTTCAAGGTGAATCATTTCAGAGAGTTTGTCTCACCCATCTCTATTTCATCAAAGGGATTCCTGTTGATATTTACCCCTCCCACTTTCAAGAGCTGGAGAGCTCGATTGCCAAATTAATATGTAATGCCCAGCGGCCTAGGCAACACAACAGCACACAAGGAAAGCTTGATCTCCTTTTCATTTAAGAAAATATCTAGAAAATGGTTGAATTTAGTGACACTAATTACCGTCTAGATGAAAACAGTTTACAAAAATTGGGGGAACTTCTAAATTCCTTCAGAAGGCATGACCTCTATTAGGTTGAAGTCATCTTGCAAAATAGTGTGTGCAAGCTTTTGAATGCACCAGGAGGTGGTTCAGAATGTTTCATCAAGTAATATAGGAACCAAACAGATTTTAAAAAGGGAAGAAGAGGGTTGTCATTGTTTTTTGTTTGGAATTCTGGATTGGGCCAAGCCAGATGTTGAGACAAGCATATCTGCTTAGGTCTGGAAGCCTCTAAAGTGCTCACAAAAAGGATGACATTCAATCACCTGGTGGACCAGAAGGACCTCTGACACCTGGATTGCCCCTTGGTCCTCGAGGGCCAGGAGCTCCGTTTTGTCCAGGTGGTCCTTGGGGACCTGTTCAAAGGAAAACAAGAGATGTAATTGTGTAACATTCTTGAGCACTTATTTCAAATTTTGGATAAGGAAAGCATTGAATTTGTGATTGATCATTTTGTTACTCTGTTGTAGAAACAGAAATGTATCTTTAATTACCCAAATCCTCAAAAATGGGGTTCACAATATCTATAAACCTTCTTTTATTTTATTTATGGATATAAAATATTTCTACAGCTGCCTATCTTTTAACCAACTCTGGGAAGCTTCCAATACAAAAATAGCCATGACCCACCAGTATAGTATAGTATAGTATAGTATAGTATAGTATAGTATAGTATAGTATAGTATAGTATAGTATAGTATAGTATAGTATAGTATAGAATAGTATAGTATAGTATAGTATAGTATAGTATAGAATAATGAAAGAATGGAATAGAATATAGAATAGAATAGAATAGAATAGAATAGAATAGAATAGAATAGAATAGAATAGAATAGAATAATGAAAGAATGGAATAGAATATAGAATAGAATAGAATAGAATAGAATAGAATAGAATAGAATAGAATAGAATAGAATAGAATAGAATAGAATAGAATAGATCTGGAATGGACATTGGAGGTCTTCCAGTCCATCCCCCTGCTGAAGCAGGAGAACCTATACCACCTCAGACAAGTGACTTCCATTCTCTTCTTAAAAACCTCCAGTGATGGAGCATCCACAATTTCTGGAGGCAAGCTGTTCCACTGGTTAATTGTCCTTATTGTTAGGAAGTTTCTCCTTCATTCCAAGTTGCTTCTCTCTTTGGTCAGTTTCCAACCGTTGTTTCTTGTCCTGCCCTCTGGTGCTTTGGAGAATAATTTGACCCCCTCTTCTCTGTGGCAGCCTCTCAAATACCGGAATACTGCTATCATGTCGCCCTTATTTTTTCTTTTCTTTAGACTAGCCAAACCCAAGTCCTGCAGTCGCTCTTCGTATGTTTTAGTCTCCAGGCCTTGGAGCATCTTAGTTGATCGTCTCTGAACTTTTTCCAAGGTCTCAACATCTTTTTTGTACTATGGTGACTAAACCTGGTTGCAGCATTTCGGATGTGGTTTCACTAGGGTTTTATAAAGTGGTGTTAATACTTTGCGTGAACTTGAAGTCCACAGCTACACATTGAGAAGGTAAAGGTGGATTATGGAGCAAAACCAATAACCATCTTGGGATTGCAGAAGACAAACATCTCCATGAAGTCAAGGACTCTCCTAGCTGATTGGCATCTGTACAATAACTCTCCTAACTTAGTCTGTTCTTCAAACTGGTGAATCATTTCCAAGAGTTTGTCTCGCCCATCTTTATTTGTGGAATGAGTTCCTGTTGATTTTCATCCCTCCTACTTCTAAGAGTTGGAGGGTTTGATTGACAATTTTTATGTATTTATTGTCTTACTACTTTAATCATTTACTATGTCATTTTATCAGATTGAAAGCTGACCAGATAGTGAGATGGGAGCAAATGAATTGAATAAATTGATAAATGAATATGCAGTTGCCTAGGCAACACAACAAAAACACAAGGACAGCTCAGTCTCCTGAAGAAGATGACTCTGTTAATGGCACTAATGACTGTCTGGAAGAAACCAAATTTACCAAAAAATAGGGGCACTTCTAAATCCCTTTGGAGAGCATGATGAAGATGAAGGAGTCCAGAATGTTTCATCAGACAATGGAAGAATCAAAGAGAGTTTGAAAAAGGAGGAAGAGGAGTGTGTTTTGTTTGGAATTTTGAAATGGGCAAAGCTAGAGATTGGGACAAGCATATCTGGGAGGTCTGGAAGGAAAGCCAATGAAATGGAGATACTCCATCACCTGGTGGACCAGGTGGTCCTGGGGTGCCTGGGATGCCTGGTGGTCCTGCAGGGCCAAGAGGTCCAATTCCCCCCTGAGATCCTTGGGGACCTGTTCAAAGGAAAACATATCCATGTAAATGTGTCACTCTCTTTAATATCCTTGGGCACCAATTTCAAATTTCAGATATAAAAAAGCATTGGAGTTTTGGAAGATCATCATTCTGTTGTAGAAACATAAATATATCCTGAACTTCAATGACCCAAACTCTCAAATTGGGATGTACAATATCTATGAGGCTCCTTTCCTTTCCTTTCCTTTCCTTTCCTTTCCTTTCCTTTCCTTTCTTTTCTTTCCCTTCCCTTCCCCAATTCTCCTTCCCTTCCCTTCCCTTCCCTTTCCTTAGAACATTTGTATTATTTCTGTAATATTCAGTGGAGAAACCTGAAAATGTTGATGCCAGTCTATTCTCCCCATTGCAAAGGCAATTTATTTATTTATTTATTTTTGAAAAAAAAAAAAATGCACTTCTGTTATTGGAATTTAAAAATGGGAAGATCTGTCTGGCTGTCTGTCTATTTGCTGCCCATCTGGTAATGAAACAACTCTGGGCAGCAAATAAATTCAATAAAGAAAGAAATAATCTTCCCATTTTTAAACTCCAAGCTATGATTATAGATTTCTCCTGAAGAATTCATCAGTAAAATGTCGACTTGAGAAACCACACGGAATGTTCTTCTATTCATTAGCAACAGGATAATCTCTGATTATTTACAATTGTTTTTGATTGCTTAATCATTAGTATTGAATTTCTTGTTATTTCCAAGCTTACCTGGACAATTTGTCTGCCCATGAGCTTCTACCAGTAAAGCAGCTGTTATAGCAAGGATCCAAACCAGCTGGAAGGACAGCATCCTTTATCAACCAGCTAAATGAAGAAAAATATTTTCAGCAGATGGCCTTGCATCAACATAATTTTTATTTCCAAAATGACTCACAACAAATTGAAAAAAAAAGATGGAAGAGACTTACACCTGGATATAATGAGCAGATTATTTAAATTAGAGAATGACATGATTATCAATAATGCTGGTGTGGTGAGTGGTGGAAGGTAAAACATACGCTAAGGAGGCAATTTTAAATTTTAAAATTTTAAAAAAAATACCAGCCAGAGTTGCAGAATTCCACCCTCCGTGCATCAAGTAAAATTTCGTTCATAATCCATACCTCCGTTTTGCACTTGCATGATGAAACAGCTACTTGTACTTCTGGGAAGCTGACTTTCATATCTTAAGTTCCACCAGTTTGACCTTGTGTCCCACCACAATAGGAACAGGTCAGAACTAATCCCCCTTCTGATTCAAGCAATATGTTAACATATCCTCTTATTTTTAGTTTTTTTTAAAAGTTTGTTAGATTTGTGAATACAGAATAAAAACTAATCTGAACTAATCATTAGAATGGAGGAAAAAAAAACAAGAAAGAAGAAAAGAGCAAAGACCAAAGTAGAGAAATTGAAGAACAGGAACAAAAGGATTATAAAGAAGTGATTTCCAATTTTCTTTTATAGCAGCTACAAGTATCAATATAAGCTAATCTCTTACAGCGTAGATTTCATTTTCCCCATGGTCTATTGTTTTTAGTCTAATCCTCAAAACTGTACATCGTGACTTCATTTTTCTTTTCTGTCTTCCACAAAAATCAATGAGGGGTGCCAATCATCGTTAAACTTAGACTATCGCCTATCTTTAATTAAAGTAGTCAGTTTGCCTTCCCAGCAAACATCAAAATGTCTTCTTGACAGAGCACGTTGTGTTCTATTTTACTTGTTAATAGACAAAATTTAATAATTGCAGTCTGCAGCAGTGAAGGAGACCCTTTGCAATAATGTATTCTCATTTGTTTAGAAAATGTTTGATACTTCCTCCCTCTTTAAATTAGCCGTTTTATTTCCATCTCTTTATTCTGCTAGTGGCTATGACATTGTCAACAGCATTTTCTTTAAACTGATAAATTAAAAAGGTGAAAATATCTGAATGACAACCCAGTGCTACCCTTCTTTATTGGAAAAGTATATATTTAAATTACTTTAAAGTTGCCCTTCTCCCCTTTTTCAATTTTAATTCCAATTAAGTCAGCACAACAGGCTATTCATTACTATTATTACTACACTGCTTGGTGTGTTAATTTTAAAATTGACATTGCATCTTTATGGACTTCTGAAACATATGATGGAATGCTATGGATACCTACTCAAAAGAAAGTTCTGCTAAATCATTAGCACCCTTCCACAACCAATTAGATAGAAGTTGTAGCTTTGAACGAAGGATTTTAACTTACCCTTTCGCTTCAGGACAAAATAATGAGGAATGGTGAAAAAATGTCAATTTATAGTATGCGTATACAATTGTTGTCGGGTCTTCATTCTCTACCAGTGCCTTCTGTTTTATTTATATAGTTGTTCCATTACGGAAAAAAAAGATTTAGCAAAGCTAGAATAGCCATCTGTCAATAGTGATTGTCTTTCAGAAATAAGATATACATAGTATAAAAAATAATCCATGTTCTTGGACAATACCATAGACCAATGGAGACCAATTTCTGCTGGAAATTGTTTGCACATATAAGGTTTCCATAGGACGATCTAATTCATAAGTATATATGCCTTGTAATTTTTGATGCTTATCCAAACACAGGGCTAGAAACTCTTCTCAAGAAATCTGACTTTTTTGTGTACATTATCTGTCCACACAGCAACAGTATGTACATAGACAGATGGAACAAAAACACGATTAGAAACCTGACACAGTTGACTTGGAACATATACCATGAGAATGATGTCCTGTTCCATGTTGAAGACATAAAAACAATGCACCAAGAGCTTCACAACAGAAAGAAAGATTGCTATACAAAATTAGTTACGCAATCCTAGAGTCCAACAGTTGGAAGGGTCCTAAAAGGTCACCAAGACCAACTTTGGCTCACGGTAGGAAATCAAAACAAAGCACCCCAAACAGGGTGTTAGTTAGCCTCTGCTCAAAAACTTCCAGAAAAGAGAGATTCTGCCCCAATAGAAGCCATGATGACATGTTAAATTACATGAATCATTATGGAAAAAAACAGAAATTACTAACTTGCACAAATTGTACAGTCCCGGTGATTCATACAAGGATATTTCCAGAACATGTGTGACATTGTCTTACTTTTCCCAGGTTTTACTGTCAAACTAATTTTTTCTGTTAGGATATTTTTTATAAGATTCTAACAGAATTTCATGTTTTAAGATCACGATTTCATCTCTGGAACAGGAAGTAGAGGACAGGTCTTTTATCAAGTAATCCAAAATGCTATTATATCTTTCATTGGTTATCTTTCTCAAGGCTAAACATCCCTAATTCCTCATGTTCTCTTTGCTGGATTTAGATCGAGTCCCTTTGACTAGAAGACCTCCAAGGTCCCTTCCAGCTCCATTCTACTCTAATTCTAATCAGTAAGATGAATTTTGTTGCCATTCTTTCTTCTACCATATCTGAGATGCAAAAAAAATTGGATAACCACCAGATGTCAGCCAAGAATTGGAGTCCTTAATCTAGTTGCTGCCACCTTCAGGACACGTGCGTATTTGCAGTCCAGATACGGCAATCCTAACTTTGAGTCATAGGTAAACAAATGATTTTGAGGTATAATTCATCAAATGGGCTATAACGGAAGTCCATAGGGATGTGATAAATGGACTGTAGTTGTAGGGATCTGATTGTAGGTGTAGTTACATAGGGATCAGTTTATGTCACGCCCTCCTTAATTCCTGAGATCCTATGGAGCAGCAGCCTCTTTGGCTGAAGCAAGACAGCCGTGCAGGCACAAAGGAGCCTTCACAGAAACACAACGTGAAATGTGTCTTTGGGAGAGACAAAGTTAGCCTCTGCATGTGAGCACATGATGAACTAGGGAGAGGGAAAGCCTTTTGTGGCCTGGTTGAGGACAACTACTACCTCATAGTTTTGTAGCCTGGTTGAGGGCAACTACTACCTCATAGTTCCCTTCGTCCGGCAACTACTACCTCATAGTTCCCTTCGTCTGGTTAGATCCCACAGGCTGGGCCTCCTTCAGGTCCCGTCAGCCAAGCAGTGCCATTTGGCGGGGCCGCGGAGGGCTTTCTCTGTGATGGCACCCACATCTTGGAACCAGCTCCCCCCGGAGATTAGGACCGCTCCCACAATGTTGGTGTTCCGCAAGCTGGTTAAGACCTGGCTTTTCCGGCAGGCCTGGGGTTTATAAAATCTGACCCCTGGATGACTGTTATTGTATTGTTTGTTTTGTCATGTTATATGGTGTTTTTATTGTTAGCCGCCCAGAGTCCTGCGGGAGTGGGGCGGCTTATAAATTTTAAAAATAAAATAAAAATAAATAAATAAACAGAAGAAATGGAAGCTGACTGCATCTATGGATGGATACGATGAGGAAAATCATAAACATTCTTTAAAGATTTCTCTATTTTTTTTAACTGTCACACTTGTCTGTGGAGATTCTCAGTCATCCAGGCCATGGTTGTCCCAAAGGTGCTATTTTTCAGGAGGCAACTGGACTTCCTTTGTTTTTCTTTGAAGATGCTTCACTTCTCATCCAAGAAGCTTCTTCAGCTACAAGTGACCAGTCGTCTGCAAGGAGTATAAATCCTTCCATTCCCCACCATCCAGGGAGACCTGAAGAAGCTTCTTGGATGAGAAACGAAACGTCTTCAAAGAAAAACAAGAAGGTCCAGTTGCCGCCTTTGGGCTCACTGTCACTTATTGCCCCACAGTCACCCAAAATGGCCCCAACGTGGTTGCTAACATAGTTGAAACATATAGTTGAAACAATAGGAATCATAGTTGAAGTCCAATCAGTTGAAGGACTTTGATTAGTACAAGACAACTTATTATAAGTGACCTCTTAGACCTTTTTTTTTTTTTTTTGCCTTCAAACAGCTGGTAAACAAAAGCTTGGATTCCGTGATGTGGAATTAAAGCTTTTACAAATAACCTTTTATAATTTCTTTCTTTCCTGAAATGCAATAGCTGGACAGCTCTCCAAATCCTCTTTGAATATGCTTTCATCTCCTTAATGCGCATTGCAGTGGAAATAATTTCTCTCAACAAATACTGGGTGACTGTTTAAATATTATGGGAGCAACCGGTAATTAACTGCACAGTGTTAGTTTTGCCGTAAGATGTTCAAACTGTGTATTTAAGAATGCGCCTCTACCCTGTTTGTGTACTAATTGTGGTCTATTAAAACAGTCATCAGAAAGTATCATTTTTTTAAAAAAAAATATTTGTTCATATTCTTTTTATGGGACTCATTTTCAATCATTCTTGATCCTGGTTTGAAAAGGACTTCTTTTTGTTTTATTCTGTTCTTGGTACTGTTGAGAGATAAGACTGATCATGATTAAATTGTACTGAATCCATTCCTTTCAAAGGGTTATCAGAAGAATAGAATATATAGAGTAGAGTAGAGTAGAGTAGAGTAGAGTAGAGTAGAATAACAGAATTGGAAGGGACCTTGGAGGTCTTCTAGTCCAACCCCCTGCTCAGGCAGGAAACCCTATACCATTTCAAACAAATGGTTGTCCAAACTCTTCTTAAAAACTTCCAGTGTTGGGGCATTCACAACTTCTGGAGGCAGGTTGTTCCACTGATTAATTGTTCTAATTATCAGGAAATTTCTGCTTAAGGTTGCTTCTCTCTTCTAGGTTGTTTCTCTCCTTGATTAGTTTCCATCCGTTGCTTCTTGTTTTGCCCTCAGGTGCTTTGGAGAATAGCTTGACTCAATCTTCTTTGTGGCAATCCTTGAGATATTGTAACTGGCAACCCTGAGATATTGGAACATTTGGCATAAGTAAAATCTCCTTCCAGTTGAACTCAAGTGCTAGTGATTGAACTCAAGTTGGTAGTATCTAACGCTCAGTGACTGAACTCAGGTTGAACTTAATACCTGGTCAAATTCATCTAGATTTCTTGACAGAAATATTGAGCTAGTTTTCCATTGCCCCTTTCCAGAATGTTTTGGATTTTTTTAAAAAGAAAATTTATATGGCCACTCAACTCACTCTCAATGACTTTGAATGGCTTACAAAGATAAAAATCTCATATAAAACACAATAATGTGCAATAGCCCCTAAACCTTGGCGACAACCATCAGTTAATCAATAAGCCATTTGATGGACTCCATGCCAGTCTGAGTTTCTTTCTCTTTTTAACTTCCCTATGTAGACTGAATTTCCAAGTGATTTTCCACTCAGTTTCTAACCTGGATCAAACCAACTCATGTTTTTGAAGGCAACCGGTGTCAACTGCCCTCCACTCAAAATCCTGAAATTATTAGAACTATGGTGTGTCCTAAGTACTATACAAACACAAGGCACTGTCTGCTTATTTCCCTCCCCTATTGGATTCATATCCACTCTATTAATATTTGGTCCTGCGAGTCTTCAAAACAAGTATCATCATTACAAATAAGGAAGTCAATGACCATATGCCTCCCAAAGGGCCACATTAATTGACTAATAGGAACATAACAGGTGCCCAAGTGGGATGAGGCACCCACTACTCTGAGCAAGGAAGCTGAACAACTGGAGAAAGGAGTCTTCGAGAAAATCAGAAGCAGTCGTCAGGATGCTTTTATTTGGCATGCTTTAATTGTAGCCAATCATCCAGCTTATTTTGAATGAGGAAATAGTTTGTTCTGTCGAATATCACCCACTGTAAAATCGATCAGTGATATTTCCTTTGGCTAACTTCTTCGATGGTCTCAGTATTGTTCTCAAACTGGATAGATAGATAGATAGATAGATAGATAGATAGATAGATAGATAGATAGATACTGTAGATAGATAGATAGATAGATAGATAGATAGATAGATAGATAGACAGACAGATAGATAGATAGATACTGTAGATAGATAGATAGATAGAGAGACAGACAGACAGACAGACAGACAGACAGACAGACAATTATGACATTCATGTCCAGATTTACATTAGTTTTTGAAAGACACGAGAATATTCCTGGACAATTCAGAAAGGAACATATAATTTTCACAATATCTGAATTTACACTTGTACAAAACTGCTCTGCTCTTCAGATGAACCTGGACATGCTTGAGATAAAGTATTTCTAACCCAAATGAACAATCAAACCCTCATCTGTAAATCATTATTTTAATTTCTTATAAAGTTATCCAGAAGTTAGAAATCCTTGATTCTACCCACCACATCATCACATGTTACTGATTTGACTCTCAGGCTTCTGAATACTGGGAATTGTAGAAGACTGAAGGCTGATGAGGACTTTACGACAAATATATATTCAGAGGACTACAGTTCCCAGAAGCCATGACGATTCCATTGGCTAAGATGTTAAAATAGGACATTTTAAAATTCACAGACAACGAGACGATACTGGTTGCATTTTTTGTCATTCCAACTTCCATCGGTTTGCATTTCAACACAATTTTCTAACCCTTTTCCATTTGGTTCATAGAGACGCCAATTGGTATAATTCACAGGTGTTTTATTGAAATACTCAAAGGCTCCCGGAACTGAGCTCTCCTTAATTCCCAAGTAGGTGTACTGATTTTGTTCTTTCACAATTTGCAAAATAGCATTGTTCTCCTTTTCATTCATGGGCTTTGCGATGGATCCCCCTGAAAGCTGACATGTCTGGATTATCGCGTCAAAGCCAACTGAGTTGCCATTGGTACTAAATATTTTGTCCTCCACCTTATTTATCAGTCGCCTCAAGGCCAAAACTGCAAAAGAGAAGAAAAAACACAATTATCCATCTGGTCCTACCATCCAGCAATTTATCAGTTGCTTTTGCAACTGTCACATCATGACTCTTCATGCATAAACTAAATACGTTTGAATTAGTCCAGGTCTGATCCATGCTATTGTCTCAGATACGCCTCTATAAACCTGTCCCACTTCTGTACTAATCTAAAAATATCCCTCCAAATGAAAACTCAGATTGAAATGTTTCGGAGTCAGTATTGGCTGAGTTCCACCTCCATAATACTTATCTACCCATGTTGGGGAAGTGTTTGAATCTCACAACTGATCATCTGCAGTAGAACTACGATTTCTGGAACACTTCCAGTTAGGTGGGGAAAAGCAGTGGAGCATCAAAACCTCCAAACATTTTGGATAATGTCCTTATTCCCCTCGTCCAATATCCTCCTAAATGTGTTTTCCAACAATAATTGTTGATAGACACATTTATGTATCACTTACAGGAGAGTTTTACATGCCCAGCTGATTTTTAGAAGTTTACAATTTTTTTTTCTTTTAATGAGCCTGTAATCCCTTGCATCGGGATGGATTCAGTCTGACTGAATGGAGCTGAGCATTTATTGGCCGGATGCCCTTCCTGATGCCTATGTGGGGTTTGCAGCAAATATTTCCTCATTGTGCCCAGAGAGAAAAATATCTGCCTCTACCTAGATTGAATTGTGAGGTGAGAGCTTTACCTCTAGGTCACTATGAGGTAAAGGTGAGATTGTGAGGTGAGAGCTTTACCTCTAGGTCACTATGCTGCTTTTTTGCAGGTTTACCATAGAAAAATTAAAATCAAAATTATCGAAACGAACATGGATTCAAACAAACAAACAAACAAACAAACAAAAAACATGACAGTCCAAACCAAAAGCTTCCCAGGGCACTCAACCTCCAAACCTTTATTCAAATATTTTTGAGCTTAAAATTGTGCTTGGACTTTAATTATTTAATTTTATTTGGAAAATGGCTACACTTCCAATTTCCCAATAGGAAAAAATGAATATTTCTCTTCCTTTTATGTTTGAAAATGCAAGTGCAAAACTTCTTTCTCAAAAAGCAATGGAGAAACCAAATAAAGGCAAGATTTTAGGGGAAATGAATCTTATCTCATCGTCCCTTTTCAAAAAATATCATTTTTTTGCCTGTCGTGGAATCTACTCTGGGGAGAAGGCACTTGTTTTACAGATGTCATTTGGTCTCTGTAAATTTAGGAATAGGAAAACCAAGCAGCGTACCTCCTTCAAGCTTCAGGATCCTTTCCTCCAGATTTCTGAGCACTTTCTGCACTTCTGAATCAAGAAAAGCTGCACGGCCTGGAAATAAATAGAAAAGCAACACATTTAGCTTCAAGGAGCAAAGCAAGCCCATTTTTTGCTTACAACTTTATCTCTGGAGTATTCCACACATGGAATACTGCGTCCAGTTCTGATTGCCACAATACAAAAAAGATGTTGAGACTCTAGAAAGAGTGCAGAGAAAACCAACAGAGATGATTAGAAGAGAAGAAGAAGAAGAAGAAGAAGAAGAAGAAGAAGAAGAAGAAGAAGAAGAAGAAGAAGAAGAAGAAGAAGAAGAAGAAGAAGAAGAGGAGGAGGAGGAGGAGGAGGAGGAGGAGGAGGAGGAGGAGGAGGAGGAGGAGGAGGAGGAGGAGGGGAGGACTTCTCTGGGGTCCTTGCTGCTCTTTCACTTTCGTTGTTTGCTTGCAGATGTTTCATTACCCAACTAGATAACATTATCAGTGCTAGCAGGCAGTGGGGTTTGGGGACTGGAGGAAGGAGACGAAGAGGAAGAGGAGGAGGGGGATGACTTTGGGCTTCTTGGTTCTCTCTGAGCTTGGTTGTTTGCTTGCAGAAGTTTTATTACCCGACTAGATGAGAAAGGTTTGCAAGCCAACAGCCAAGCTCAGAGAACACCAAGGATTCCATAATGATACAGTCCAGGTATTATGGTATTGATGATATAATATTAAAGGGGGAAAATCAGTTAATTTGGTGGCCTTGAAACCACAACAAAAGCCATGATTCCCTAGTTACCTTCTGGGCCACGGGGTCCTTGGTCTCCTTTCTCTCCTGGTTCACCTTTCAACCCTTTTGGTCCTGGAAGCCCATCTTTTCCGGGAGCGCCTGGCAAGCCATTGGGGGGTCCCATGGGACCTGGGAAGAAACAAGAATCAAGGAACTGCAAGATGAAAGCAGAGTCTTTTTACCCCTTTATTATTGCAAAGAAACAAAGATATTATTTTTAAATAAATTAATAAGGTGTATTGATAACAATTGAAAGGCTGGGGATAACTTTCAAGAAGCAAAGACCTCAGAACTGAATGGACTATATCCATCCATCATATCTCTCTCTCTCTCCCTCTCCCACCCTCCTTCCCTCTCTCTCCCTCTCCTTCTCCCTCCCTCCCTCTCTCTCTGTCTCTCTCTGCCTCTCTCATCTCTCATTTGTTTCTATCTCTATCTCTACACACACACACACACACACACACAGAGAGAGAGAGAGAGAGAGAGAGAGAGAGAGAGAGAGAGAAGGATGAGTTAGAAGCCCACAGTTGGAGGTATTATATTTTGACCACTTTCTAACAAAATATAAATATGTGCAGTTGTGGGGTTCCACCACAGAGAAACATCTCTCTCAGTTACAATAATGCATTAATCCTTGCTCTGACTGAAGCAGGAAGACCAGCCATCAATTCAGTGGGCTTACTCTGATTTTAGCAAAACGATGGCACTCGAGATTTCTATAGCTATAGCCAACTGAGCCAACCTTATCACTTAAGGACATGTCATCACCACCATCCATTGCTGTTCCCCACAATTTGAGGAACGCGAATCAGTTCTCAGTCAAAGACGTATAAGCTTAAGAGCAGAACATATATATACCTGGTGGTCCCTGATCCCCTTTCATGCCATCCCGTCCATCTTTTCCAGGCAACCCATTAGCTCCTGGCATCCCTGGGATTCCTGGAACTCCTGAACACTTGGCCTCCTGCCCATGACACAGTCGGGAAAAAATAGCCACTACGGATGCCACGTAAAAAAACGTCAATGATGTCATTTCTGCTTAGCTGAAAAAAAAAGAAAAGAAAAAGAATGTGCATTAACATTTTTCAGCATTGCTAGATGAGAGACGCCCATCGTATGACACATTCCAAACTGTAAAGATAACATTTCAAATGTTGTGTTCAGCCACTCAAAATTGCTTGTTCCCATTATGTTTATCTGACCCAGCAACAAAACATTGTGGTGGGGAAAATGTGCCATAGAATTCAACAGAACAATAGAGTAGAGTAGACTAGAGTAGAGTAGAGTAGAGTAGAGTAGAGTAGAGTAGAGTAGAGTAGAGTAGAGTAGAGTAGAGTGGGGTATTGTAGGATAGGGTAGGATAGGGTAGAGCAGAACTAGAATAGAATAGAATAGAATAGAATGGAATAGAATAGAATAGAATAGAATAGAATAGAATAGAATAGAATAGAATAGAATAGAATAGAATAGATTAGAATAGAATAGAATAGAATGTCCTCAATGGATGGAAACTAATCAAGGAGAGAAGCAATCTAGAAATTTCCTGACATATTGGAAGACTGCTATCATGTCACCCCTAGTTCTTCTTTTCATTAAACTAGACATAAGCAATTCCAGCAACCATTCTTTATAGCCTCCAGTCCCCTAATTAGGAAAATAAAGATGGCCAGACTAAATGTAATGGATTATCTCCCAAACCCAAAAGAATAAGACTGGCAGCTACATGCAAATTGAAATCACTATGATTTCCAAGGTCAACTTACCATTCTTTGCCGAGGTGATACGAAGGAATGGTTTTGAAAGCATCTGATTTATACTGCATTTACGATTGGGAAACAGCAAGCTTAAGTGGACATTTGGTATGTGCTTGTAAAATGCAAGAGAAGCTAGAGATGGGTGAAGTTGATTTACTTGGCAAATATTTGAAATAGGGTGAAAAACCCATCATGAGCACAAAATAACATATTGTGAAAGTGCAGATCAAATTTCTTCTCCAAGTGGATTATTTCCCGCTATATAGTGGTATCTTGGTATTCATCATTAATTAATTCCCGGAGGTGCGATAAGTATCAAAAACGATGAGTACCAAAGATTTTTTTCCCGTAAGGAATAATATAGTGAGTCATAATGTAGTGAGTCATAAGGTTTTATTACCCTAACTAGGTAACATCATCAGTGCTAGGTTATCTAGTTAGGGTAATGAAACATCTGCAAGAAAACAACCAAGTTCAGAGACCACCAAGGATAACCACCACCACCACCACCTCCTCCTCCTCCTCCTCCTCCTCCTCCTCCTCCTCCTCCTCTCCATAACCCACACTCTCTTCTAGCACTGATGAGGTTACCTAGTTAGGGTAATGAAACATCTGCAAGAAAACAACCAAGTTCAGAGACCACCAAGGATAACCACCACCTCCTCCTCCTCCTCCTCCTCCTCCTCCTCCTCCTCCTCCTCCTCCTCCTCCTCCTCCTCCTCCTCTCCATAACCCACACTCTCTTCTAGCACTGATGAGGTTACCTAGTTAGGGTAATGAAATGTTTGCAAGAAAACAAGCAAGCTCAGAGAAGCACCAAGGACCCCTCAAGTTCTAGTTTGTGAGTTGAGTATCAAGCGAACAATGAGTATTGGGACAAAATTTTCATGTCAAAATGTTGAGTATCAAATTTAATAATTTCCAAGCAGTTAATAATTTACAAGCACACTGTAATATGTGGAGACAGATCTGGCAAAACACGCAAACTATTAAATTTATCAATCAATCAATCAATCAATCAATCAATCAGAAAGGAGCTGGAAAGTATCTTGGAGGTCTTCTAGTCCAACCCCCTACCCAAGCAAGAGACCCTATACCATTGCAGACCAACAGCTGTCTATTCTCTTCTTAAAAGCTTCCAGTGATGAAGTGCCGACATCATCTGAAGGCAACTTCTGTCCCACTGGTTCATTGTCCTCACTGTTAGGAAGTTTCTCCTTAATTCCAGGTTGCATCTCTCCTTGATTAGTTTCCATCCATTGTTTCTGCATCAAAAGATGTAGGACCCTGTACATACTGAGTCTCACCATGTGTGGAGAGAATGTTCTTTTCCTTTTGTAGTCCTCCTTGATCTACTCATACGATGATGATGAGGATGCTATCTATAATATCTCAAGGGTTGCCACAAAGAAGAGGGAGTCAAGCTATTGTCCAAAGCGCCTGAAGGCAGAACAAGAAGCAATGGATGGAAACTAATCAAAGAGAGAAGCAACCTAGAAATAAGGAGGTTGTGAGTGCTCCATCACTGGGGGTTTTTAAGAAGAGACTGGGCAGCCATTTGTCTGAAATGGTATAGGGTTTCCTGCCTGAGCAAAGAAAAGATGGTAACTGTCTTCCAGTACTTGAGGTGCTGTCACAGAGAAGAAAGGATTGGTGTAGTCTCAAGATATCAGGACAAGAAATAATAGAGATCCATCCTAGAGTAAGGAGAAATTTCCTGACATTGAGAACAACTTAATCAATGCAATGGCATGTTTCTCAGAGTTGTGAGTGCTCCATTACTGGAGGTTTTCAAGAAGAGATTTGACAGTCTATGGAGATTCTCAGTCATCCAGGTCATGGTTGTCCCAAAAGTGCTTTTTCAAGAGGCAACTGGTCTTTCTGGTTTTTCTTTGAAGATGTTTCACTTCTCATCCAAGAAGATTCTTCAGCTGTGACTGGATGGTGGGGAATGGAATGATTTATATTCCATGCAGACAGCTGGTCATTTGCCTTCTTTTGGAGAGTCATTGAGGCTTGAGTCTGTCTTCAACAGTGAAGGGACCCAGGGCAGAAAACATCCTGTAGCCAAGAAGGCTACACACACATTTGCACCACTCACTTGACCCTGAGGACACAGATACTGTAAACCTCCAAGTGACCTCAATGACTCTCTCTAAAAGAAGACGAATGACCAGCTGCCTGCAAGGAGTATAAATCTTTCCATTCCCCACTGTCCAGTCAGGGCTGAAGAAGCTTCTTGGATGAGAAGTGAAACGTCTTCAAAGAAAAAACAAGAAAGTCCAGTTGCCTCCTGAAAGTCCAGTTGCCTCATCATCTTTGAGACAGATTGGACAGTCATTTGTCCAGAATGATCTAGGGTCTCACGTCTTAATTAAGGGGTTTGATTAGAAGACCTCTGGGGTTCCTTCCAGGAATGTCAGGTTCTATCTAGACTTCTTCCTTACTTTAGCAGTTTTCTAACTGAAGGGAGCATTACTCCATGAAATCTAAGGTGATATACTCTTTCATATCACAAAGAAGTAGACCACATTTTAATTCTGGTGATTTTTTTTTCCAGAGAAGCTTTCCTTCACATAGGGAAGATGTGCTGGGAATCGAGAAGGTCCCAACACATACTAAAGATGTGAAGTTAGAAAGATTGCTTTAGGGAGGAAAAAAAAAAACACAACGGTGTCTTGAAACCAAGGCCATTAGGGCACACTTCCAATCCTGCAACCAGAACTAAACTGAGTCAACAATGACTCTCAGAACAGCCATTATAGAAACACAAAGGCTTCATTGTTCTCCTGCTTTCTTCTGAATAATACTAGGGACAATTAAGAGCAGTACTTCTTTAATGTAAACATCTCTCATAATTTGAGAAGATCAAGTGGAAAACACTAACCTTAGCTTGGCTTTGAATGAAAAGAACATTGTGTTCATTGATCCAAAGAACTGCATGTTGCTTCTGTTTATTGATTCAGGCACCACATGATCACTCAACTGCTGTTGCTTGGAAAACCTGAAAGGAACTATAATTCCCCCCCCCCAAGACATTCTCCCAAATCCATTGGAACAATAGGGCTGAAAAGGACTTGGAGGGGGGGGTCTTCAAGTCCAAGCCTCTGCCCAAGCATTGTTCCATCTTGGACAAGTGGCTGTCCAACCTTTTCTTGAAGACCTCCAGCAATGGAGCACCCACAATTAAATGAAAGAAAAAAAAGAATCAAATTGAATTATTTAAAGTTAGCTAAATTAAAAAGTTAGAATCCATGGGGTTCCTGTAAAAAGCCCTAGTTGCCTCAAATACCTTTCCCCTGTTACGCAGCCAACAGTTTCCACGAATCCCTGCCAAGTTTGTGGAATGGCCAATAGCTTCTTGTAAAAATCCTATGATCCATTTTATTTCAGGATCAGATCTGCTCAGAGTTCACAGGCGGCCTTTGATCTTTCAAGAGCAGGATTAATAGATTTACTTAGGGGTGGGGAAAAAAAAAAAGCAAAGAGCCAAGTTTATCAAATGTAAGTTTGTTGGTTGGGTTATATTGGAGGGAAAATTTTGTGTTTATTATGGATGAATGGTTGTTTAAAAGAAATACACACTTCAGTGTGGAGAAGATGGATAAATTACATGTAGAGTAAATATGGGTTCGAATTGATATGGGATTAAAAAGTATTATTTAGATTATGAATAATTTTTAGTTTTCAATTTGGAATTGCTTACCATATATGCTGGCGTATAAGGCGACTTCCGTGAGCGCTAAAATCGGCGACAAAGATGGGGGTTGTCTTATACGCCGAGTCGTCTTATACGCCAGAAATACTGGTAGTTTCCGTCGTATAAGACGACGTTCTAGGAATGCGACTCGGCGATAAAGACGGGGGTCGTCTTATACGCCGGGTTGCCTTGTACGCCGGAATATACGGTATATTGTTATTTTTGGGTTTTTTTGTTTTTTTTATTTTTTTTAATTTGCTTAAACTTGTTCTGTATTTGAGTTAAAGCACATTATTGATTTTGTTATTTGTATAGTTGGATAGTTGGATACAACTATAGTTGTATAGTTGAAGTTCATTTAGAATTTGCTTGTTTACTTGTAACCCTGTAACCAGCTCTGGGAAGTAAGGGGGGGGAGGAGGGAGGGGGTTATTCTAAGGGGGGATATTGTTAAAAACTTGTATAAAACTTTTCAATAAAAACAAAGAGCAGGATGAAAAATAACGGAGGGAAGCTTATCAAAGAGCGAGCCAACCTTGAACTAGGGAGAAATTTCCTGACTGTGAGAACAATTGATCAAGTGAAATGGTTTACCTCCCGACGTTATGGGTGCTCCATCACTGGAGGTTTTTAAGAAGAGATTGGACAGTCATTGTTTGATGTAGGGTCCCCTGCTTGAGCAGGGGGTTGGACTAGAAGGTCCATTCCAACTCTATAATTCTATGTTCAATATTCTGTAATAGTTAACTCCCTCATTTTGGGGGGTGAAGACTATAGTGATTTTACTTGACCTGCTAGATGTTGTTGTTGTTAGTTGCGAAATCGTGTCCGACCCATCGTGACCCCCTGGACAATGTTCCTCCAGGCCTTCCTGTCCTCTACCATCTTCTGGAGTCCATTTAAGTTCACACCTACTGCTTCAGTGGCTCCATCCAGCCACCTCATTCTCTGTCGTCCCCTTCTTCTCTTGCCCTCCATCTTTCCCAGCATCAGGCTCTTCTCCAGTAAGTCCTTCCTTCTCATTAGGTGGCCAAAGTACTTGAGTTTCAACTTCAGGATCTGGCCTTCTAAAGAGCAGTCAGGGTTGATCTCCTCTAGGACTGACCGGTTTGATTGCCTTGCAGTCCAGGGGACTCGGAGAAGTCTTCTCCAGCATCAATTGAGTTCAAAGGCCTCAATTCTTTGGCACTCAGCCTTTCTTATAGTCCAACTTTCACAGCCATACATTGCAACTGGGAAAACCATGGTCTTGACTATACGTATTTTTGTTGGCAGGGTGATGTCTCTGCTTTTTAGCATGCTATCTAGATTTGTCATATATATAAATTTTGCCTAGAGAACAATGTTGTTAGTTGCAAAGTCGTGTCCAATCCATCGCGACCCCATGGACCATGTTCCTCCAGGCCTTCCTGTCCTCTACCATCTTCTGGAGTCCATTGAAGCTCATGC